AGGGAGAAAATATAATGACAGTGGAAAAATGTGCCCTCTCCCATCGTATCCTTGATGAATCTTACCGCCACTGAACGTGGGCTGTGACTTTTTTGTATCTCCAGCATCCACCTGTGAGTATTGTTTCCAAAAATCTTTAACTTCATCATCACAAAACAGGAACTACAGGATTGAAAGAGGGGGAAAAAATGACACCAAAAGGAAAAATCTAAAGCAAAGGATAGGACAGACTGCAGAGCAAATAGCTTAGCCTCTTCAATTAAGCCAGTGTCATTTAATGAAATAAAGGCCTTCGCTGCTTTTGCTGGGCTGCTGCTCATCCAGAACCATGGTGCCCTCGCTGTGGAAGGGGCTGGCAGGCATCGGCCTTTTTGCTCCTGCCCATGCAGCCTTTTTTGTCACCAGCATCGCTCTTATATGCGATTAACAGAAAAGGAGGATGAATCCCTGCCCATAGATATAGTTCTTCAGATACTTCTGGTTTTCGCAGTTACCTGTTATGGCATAGTTCATATTGCAGGGGAGTTTAAAGACATAGATGCTATGTCAGAACTAAAAAATAAGACATTCGACACATTAAAGAATCACCCATCATTTTATGTCTTCAGTCATCGTGGTAGAGTACTGTTCTAGCCTTCGGATGCAACAAATTCTTCAAACCAAGATGCATTGTCGTCTTCTTTCGTTACTCCTTGAAGTAACGAAAACTTGAATCACTGCATCGTTGAGGTTTTTACAAATCGTAACAACAGGACAGGACACAGAGTTGGAATATTGGCATTTGGGGTCTATAAAACACCTCCCCCATCGATACTTCTCCTGATCTTTCAGACCTAATTTTTAAAAAGTTGATGCCCCTGGTTTTTATACTGTTAAATCATTGATTCAGTATAAAATAGCTGTGAAATGAATCTTTGATCTTTCATCGAGTTCTTTTTTCCCCATTTAAAACAAATAGGCATCTTTTGTAAAAGTCACTGTTTTGAACACATTTCTTTGAAAAAAAAGTGTTGATGTGTTTGTAATTGTTTTCTCAGATTTTGTTTCCTTTGCACTACAGTTTTTAGGACCCTTTTGGAAACAGTGTGACTGCTGCATTTTGCTACATGCATGATAATAAAATGGTCTTCAGTTCTTAACAAGTGGACTTCTCGGCAGAGATTTAAAAAGGTGATATCAGTTTTTCGTAGGCCCTCTAAAAAGGGGCTCTGCTTCAGGAGTTACTTGCCAGATTTTAATTTATCCCTTACTCCCATATACCTTCTAACATCAGCCATCTCATGGTATCACTACTACTACTACTACTACTACTACTACTACTACTACTACTACTACTACTACTACTACTTCTTCTTCTTCTTCTTCTTCTTCTTCTTCTTCTTCTTCTTCTTCTTCTTCTTCTTCTTCTTCTTCTTCTTCTTCTTCTTCTTCTTCTTCTTCTTCTTCTTCTTCTTCTTCTTCTTCTTCTTCTTCTTCTTCTTCTTCTTCTTCTTCTTCTTCTTCTTCTTCTTCTTCTTCTTCTTCTTCTTCTTCTTCTTCTTCTTCCCCCTCCTCCTCCTCCTCCTCCTCCTCCTCCTCCTCCTCCTCCTCCTCTTTTTTTAATATATTTTATTGATTTTGTACAGAGTGGAAGGGAGAGAGATACAGAGTTAGAAACATAGATGAGAGAGAGTCATCGATCAGCTGCCTCTTGCACACCCCCTACTGGGAATGTGCCCGCAACTAAGGTACATGCCCTTGACTGGAATCAAACCCGGGACCCTTCAGTCCCCAAGCCGACGCTCTATCCATTGAGCCAAACCAATTTTGGCTCATGGTATCACTTCTCTGGAGTTCTGTGTGCAGTAAGCAATTTTTGTGTCAGAAATTCTTTGTTATAACAAATGTACTTAATAGACTCAACTCGCTGTAAAGCTACTTGTATTCTCTTTGTTTATCTGTAAAAGTCCCTAATTGGTTATGTAATGCAAGAATGTTGAAAAGACCCTTTGGGATTTAATTATCCTGATTATGTAGAAGGAGAAGAATCACTGAGGAAAACTGATTATTTGTCATTAGCCAGTTTAATTTATTCAAATTCTGTTATTTTATTGCATACTACAATAGTGAATTAGTAAAAATAAACTTCTCATTAAAGGAAAAAGAAAAAGAAAAGAAAAAGAAAAAGGACATTGTAATGTTGAAAGGGATTGAATTGAATCTGTAGGTTGCTTTGGACATTTTAACAATATTGTCTTTTAATCCATGAGTACAGAATGCCTTTTTGTTTATTTGTGTTATCTTTAATTTATTTTATAAATGTCTTATAGTTTTCAGTGTACAGGTCTTGTTCAGTCTTGGTTAGATTTATTCCTAAGATTTTATTCCTTTTGATGTAATTGTAAATGAGATTGTTTTCTTAATTTCTCTTTTTGGTACATTGCTGATAGTTTTTGTTTTTGTTAATCTTCACCTGAGGATGTTTTTTCCCATTGTTTTTCAGAGATGAATGGAGGGGGGATATAGGAATTAAGTGACCATATATATGTGGACCTATTTATTTTTTAATTGTTGACACTATTACAGATATGCCCATTTCCATTTGTCCTCTGTTTTCCTCCTCCACTCAGCCTCTTTCATCCCCAAGGCCTTTACCACATTATTCCTGGGTCTGTGTGTTATACATATATGCATATACTAGTATGTTCTTTGGTTAATCTCTTCCAGCAGGGTAGAGTAGTTGGGGGTGAGATCAGGCTGGCAGAGGAGGGCAGTTGGAGGCAATCACACCAGCAGGGGAGGGCAGTTGGGGACAAGATCAGGCCAGTAAGGGCGATAAGTTAGGGGTGATCAGGCAGGCAGGCAGAGGGGTTAGGGGCAATCAGGCAGGCAGGTTGAGGCAGTTAGGGAGGGGCGATCAGGCAGGCAGGCAGATGAGCGGATAGAAGCTAGCAGTCAGAGATTGCTAGAGGCATGTCCGACCGCTGACGGTTGGACAATCCCCAAAGGGGACCCCAATTGGAGAGGGTGCGGGCTGGGCTGAGGGAACTCTCCCGCTCCCCTGTGCATGAATTGTGTGTACTGGGCCACTGATCTATCTATATAAAAGTCTAAGCAACCATTGCAATCTGAACTGGCTGCATGGGGTGACCAGTCCGGCAAGGGGTTAGTGAGGGACGACCGAACGACTGAGCAGCAGCAAGCAGCGTGGGTTGACCTGGCTGACAGGGTGTTATTGAGCAATGACCAAATGACCAAGAAGCAGACTATGTGGGTGACTTGGCCAGCAGGGGATTAGTGACGGGTGATCAAATGACTGAGCAGCAGGATGTGTGGGGAGACCAGGCTGGCAGGGGGGTTAGTGAGGGGTGACCAAATGACCAAACAGCAGGCTGCGTGGAGCAACCAGGCTGGCGCGGGAGGGGGGCAGTTGGGGGCTAACAGGCCAGTAGGGGGGCAGTAAGGGTGATCAGGCAGGCAGGCAGGTTAGCAGTTAGGAACCAGAAGTCCAGGATTGTTAGAGAGATGTCCCCTGAGGAGTCCTGGATTGGAGAAGGTGAAGGCTGGGCTGTGGACCCTCCCCCCATACACAAATTTTGTGCACCAGGCCTCTAGTGTGTGTGTGTGTGTGTGTGTGTGTGTGTGTGTGTGTGTGTGTGTATGCCTAAGTTACCATTATGACTGCTGCCCTGGTGGTCAGTGTGCACCCACAAGCAACCTCCCTTGGCCCCTCCCCATTGCTGGCTGGCCCCTCCTCATTGCTGGCTGGCCCCCCCCCCGATTGGCCCCATTGGGGAAGGCTGGCCTGCCAACCTTTTGCGGCTTCTCCCACCTTGGCTGGCCAACCTCCCACTGCCCTTCCCCCCAGCTGGCCTCCTGTGGCCCCTCACCATGGCTGGGCCCCCCTATTGGTCCTGATTGGGGTGGGCCAACCTCCCACAGTCCCTCCCCCTAGCCCTGATGGGAGGGCCAGCAGGCCAACCTCCCATGGTTTCTCCCCCCGGCTGGCTGGTCTCTCTGATTGATGGCCCTGACTGGGAGGCTGGCTGGCCAACCTTCCATAGTCTCTCCCCCTGACTGGACCCCAATAACCTCGATTGCTGGCCAGGCCAAGGCACCCTACCCAGATATGAATTTGTGCACCCGGCCTCTAGTATCTCCATATATTTGAAATTTTCAGCTTTCCTCCATTATTGATTTCTTGATTTATCATATTGTGATTGGAATAGGTAGTTGGTTTGATTTCAGTTTTCTTAAATTTGCTAAGATTGTTTGTGGCATGTCATATGATTTATTCTGGTGGATGTTTCATGTGCACTTGAAAAGAGTATATTTTGGTGCTGGTGGAGGGTATGTTCAAATGCATTTCTGGTCCATTTGATCTGAAGTATGTTTCTATTCCAATATTTCTGTGTTAGATTTTTGTTTGGATAATTTATCCATTATTGAAAATGTGATATTGAGGTATGATATTTTAAATACCTCCAAAACTTGTTTTTCAAAAATTTTACATTTTATGTATTTAACTGGTACCTTGTATTTAAATTATTTCCTTAATAGGTAAAATTTGTTACTACACTCCAAACTTTATTTTGTACTTTGATATATGATCCATGCTTGAAACATATTAACAATTACATTACCTTCAACTTATAAGTTTTTAAAATACACATAGATGTGGTTATCAGTATCTTGTGTTCATGAAATTTTTACTTTTTAAATCAATTTAATGTATTTAATGCCTATATTATTCTGTTGCTCATTTTGCATATGCAGAATTCTATGGTGTGGGTGTTTTGTGTTCTGTTCCCCAAAGAAACATGGAGAATTTAAATGTAGAACAGGGATGAGAATTAATTTCTCAAATTTTAGTTCATTATTTTTTTACTATTCAGATCATGTACTCTTCTATGTGGGACTGTATTTATAAATCACTGTCTTTTGTCGTGAATATATGCCAGCTGGCTTCAAAATTTATTTGGGTTGGAAAGAATTGAGTATATTATTATTTTGTTTTTCAGGGGTTCTCAACCAAATACGACAGTAGATAAGAATTGTTCAAGGCGGGCTACACAGATCAAAGAAAAGAGAAAAGGTAATGATGGCATTTCTCTTGTAGTGTCTGATACTCAGTCTAAAGGTTTGTTTAACTTTAAAAACTGTTATCTAAATTTTTGTGTACTGCATTTGTAATAATTTTTAAAAATTGACTTTAAGAGGGAGCAAGAGTGAGAGTGATATCACTGTGAGAGAGAAACATTTATGAGTTGCCTCCCATATGTGAGACTGACTGGGAATTGAGCCCACTCAATTTCAGGATGACACTCTGACCAAATGAGCCATAATAACCAGGGTGCATTTGTAATAATTTTAAAATTTATGGATAACTTTATTCAATTTTATGTTTGAAGGATATGTGAAAGTAAAGGGAGATTATTTTAGTAACCCAAAGAAAATAGCTAAATTTACATTTTGAATCCTGTAGTATATATTTCTTGATCTATTTATTAAATCCAAAAGTTAATTTGATTATGTTGTTGTTGGGGCTGGGCATATACCTATAAATTTATAATGTTAGTCTGACTATTTCTGAGTGTTGTTTTCATGGATATGCTACTGCTAACTATATTATTATTATTATTATTATTATTATTATTATTAGCTTCACACTATTTATCCTTCTATGAAATATATATTTTATTCATTAGAATTTCTCTCAATGTTAGGAAGATGTCAATACAAGCCATTATTAGCATTTTCAAAGGTAAATACATTCCAGACTACTGAAAATTCTTTGTAGGCCTCTTGATATATAGGGTTAATAAATTAACTAATTTTTTGTCTCTCTTTTAAAAATTTAAAATAATTTTCAAAAATTTTCACAAGAGTAATTTACTACATTAGTCAGATGTGAAACTAACATCTTCATGGATCTCTTGGATTATTGCTAGCTCAAATTAGTGAGGTATCCTTTTTTTTTTTTTTTAAATAAATCTTTATTGTTCAGATTATTACAAATGTATTCCTCTTCTCCCCTCTCCCTTAATTGCTCCCCTCCACCAGGCTCCCACCCCACCCTCTGTACTTTCCCCATCCTCCATTATCCTCATTCATAGGAGCACAGTTTTTGTTCAGTCTCTTCCCGCACCCCCACTCCCCTTGTCCCCGAGAATCGTCAGTTCACTCCCCTTCCATACCTCTGATTCTATTATATTCACCAGTTAATATTGTTCATCAGATTTTTTAATTTCCTTGGTTTTTAATTTTCACTTGTTGATAGTTACATATTTGTTGTTCATAATTTTTATCTTTATCTTCTTCCTCTTCCTAAATAACCCCCTTCAGCAATTCATATAATTCTGGTTTGGTGGTGATGAACTCCTTTAGCTCTTTTTGTAGTTGTGAAGCTCTTTACCTGGCCTTCGATTCTGAGTGATAGCTTTGCTGGGTAGAATATTTTTGGCTGTAGGTTCTTGCTATTCATCATCTTGAATATTTCTTGCCATTCCCATTTGGACTGCATGGTTTCTGTTGAGAAATCAGCTGACAATCGTGTGGGTGCTCCTTTATAGGTAACTACCTGCTTTTCTCTTGCTGCTTTTAATATTCTCTCTTTGTCTTTTGCTCTTGGAATTTTAATTATGATGTGTCTTGGTGTGGTCCTCTTTGGATTCCTTTTGTTTGGGGTTCTGCGGGCTTCCTGGACTTGTAAGTCTATTTCTTTCCCCAGGTGGGGGAAGTTTTCTGTCACTATTTCTTCCAGTATTCTTTTGGTATCTTGCTCTCTCTCTCTTCTTCTTGGATCTCCATAATTCTGATGTTGGTTCGCTTGAAATTGTCCCAGAGGTTTCTTACACTATCTTCAACTTTCTGGATTCTCTATCTTCTTGCTTCTGCAGGACTTTTGTGTTCTAAATCTTTGTCTTGATTCTTGCGATCTTCCAGTCTGTTTTTAGCACTCTGTGTAATATTTTTTATTTCAGACAATGTTTTCTTTATTTCTAGTTGATCCCTTTTCATATCCTCATAGGTCTCATTTATTTTATCGGCCTTTTTTAGGATATTCTTGAAAAGCCTTATAACTGTAGTTTTGAACTCAATGTCCATTCTTTTCTTTTCCTCCATCTCCTTCCTTTGTGTCCTGCCTCTTGTCTGCATTTTAGTTGTTTTCCTGATTTGATGGAATAGTTTTGTGTGCTAGGTGTTCTGGTAGAGCCCAGTAGCACAGCCTTCCCAGTTACCTGTGGTGGACAGTCTTGGTGTAGCCCTTTGTGGGTTGTGTGTGCAGTCTTGTTGTTAAGCCTTGTTTATTGTTGGTATCACTGGGAAGCGTTGATCTCCAAGCCAATTGGCTGTGAGGATCAGCAGTGTCTCAGCTAGGGCTTCTGTACTCCGCTTGGATGGGGCGGAGTCTTGGGATGGCGCAGACAGTCTTTGGTTCCCTGTCAGTCTTGCCTTAGAAAAGTCCTGTTTGCTGTGAGTCTCACAAGATTGGTTGCTGGTGCACGCACCCCTTTTGTAAAGGCACAGACAAGCTTTGGATTCTGGCCAGTCCCTCCTTAGAGAAAGCCAGCCTCTGGGAGAGCTTCTGTGCTCAGCTTGGATGTTGCAGAGTCTCGGGTTGGTGCAGACAAGCTTTGTTTTCCCTTCGATGACTCCCCAAGTCCCGCAGTAATGGCCGCTGGCTTCACACACTTCTGAGAGATCTCTGCTGCTGCATAATAGTCTGGCCTCTCACGACTGGGGCCGTCTATCAGAGCAATAGGGTGATTCTGTTTTCCTCTCGAACAAGAAAGCCAGCCGCATGTTAGATGTCCCTCTCTCCGTGCGCTGGGAGTAAGCCAGTAGCGAACTCAGCCCGGCCCGCCTTCTCTGCACACTGGGAGTAAACCAGCAGCAATCTCGGTCCGGCCCTTCCTCTCCCCGCTCTGGGAGTAAACCAGCACCTTTTCGCGCACACAGTTCTCCGTACCTTTGCAGTTTCTGAGGGTCAGCGTGCCTTCATCCTTCCCAGATGGCAGAGCCTCCTCTCAGCTAGCCGTCCAGTGCTTCAGGGAAATGCCTTCCCTGTTTTCCAGTTCTAAATTAAAATTTGTTTGTGGTAGGCTGCATTCTGGTGTCTACCCTATGCCGCCATCTTGATTTCTCTGAGGTATCTTATTTTCTAAATTAGAGGCCTGGTGTACAAAATTCATGCACAGGGTGGGGTTTCCCTCAGCCCGGCCTGCACCCTCTCTAATCTAGGACTCCTCAGGAGATGTCTGACTGCCTGTTTAAGCCCTGGGCCCAATCCTAAGCTGGCAGTCGGTCATCCCTCTCACAATCTGGGACTGCTGGCTCCTAACCACTCGCCTGCCTGTCTTCCTGCCTGATTTCCCCCTTACCACTTCCCTGCTGGCCTGATTGATTCCTAACTGCTCTTCTCCCGGCCTGATTGCCTCCAATTGCTCTGCTGGCCCATCTCCCTTAACTGCCCTCTCCTGCTGGCCCGATCGCCCTCAGCTGCCCTCCCCTGCAGGCCTGGTTGCCCCCAACTGCCCTTCCCTGCCAGTCATCTTGTCGTGGTCATCTTGTGGCAGCCATCCTGTGGCAGCCATTTTGTGATGTGGTGGCCATCTTGCGATGACATTGTGCAAGGGCATTGTGGGATGCCATGTAGGCTTTTATTATATAGGATTATTTTTAAGTTATTCACAAAAAATGATGGTCTTGTAATGACACCACAAAATTTCTTTGTAGTTCCTTTGAAACACAGCTGTTTACACATTTTTAATTAGGTTTTTCATAAAAGAGACAAAATTAAAAGGACACGACATTAATAACTTTGATGCGTACAAGACACCGGCTGCAACTCTTATGAGGATAGTCTATATAGAAAACATGTGACTCCATATTCATAATCTTTGAATTAGTCACTAACTGTCTGCATATAATAAAAGACATTTCTTATGAATTGTGCTTTCCCAGCAATAATTGCCTTTGTTATCAAATATCAGTATTTGTACAAATGGGCTCAGTTTAGATATTATCAAGACATCATTAAGCTCTTACATTTCCCTGCTTTTCTAGGTAGAATAGAACTTGTTGAATTTTGCTTTCTGATTGGTGCCCTACATACTCCGAAGTCACAGTGAAATTTTACATTTATAGCAAGGAAAAAAATGAATGATAAAAGAAATGCTTTATACTTTCTTAGTATTCCTAAAGGTTCTCCTCAGAGGTAAAGTGATTTTAAAAATATTAGGTATTGCCTGTACAATGTAGCTCAGTTGTTGAGTGTCAACCTATGAACCAGGAGGTCACGGTTCAATTCCTGGACAGGGTATATGCCTGGGTTTTGGGCTCTATACCCTGGTAGGGGGAGTGCAAGAGGCAGCTGATTAATGATTCTCTCTCATTGATATTTCTCTCTCTCTCCCTCTCTCTTCCTCTCTGAAGTGAATAAAAACTAAAGAAAGAAAATTAGGTATTGAATTGTTATTAAAAATTACCATATTTTGATAACTATTGATTACCGTGTCTCATACCAGTTGTTTAAAGAAGGCCATGAATTAATGGAAATTCTGAATTATAGCCCACGTTTACCATTCTTTTGTAGCAAATTAAATTTTTCTTGTGGAAATTATTTTTAAGAAAATAATACAATAAACTATTAAATATTTTTTGTTTACAGGATTTTTTTCATCTCTTTGACTTCATATGCTAGTAATATTTGCAAGTTAAGTTGTATATATTATGCAAGTAGAATCCTATTTTTACAAAATGTGTCTCAATTTAATACATTTATTTCTGTTTTCCATGAGATAGTTTCGGGAGATGTGCAAATAGTAAGGTTGTTAAAGGAAAATTCCTGTGTAAACTACTTTTATAGTTTACAAAGTTAATGTTCTTTTCAAAATACTGTGTTGATGATTTGGTGGTGGTGGGGTTTTGTTTTCTTGGGGAAGGGAGCAAAGAGCATTTTTTTTTGAAAATCAGAAGATTATTGACTGTCTTGTAGTTTTTGCCCTCAATCCTGTTCCAGAGCCTGTGTTTTAAGCAACAACAAAGGTATTATGACTGTTAGTCATTAGGTGTCTATGAAGCTAAATAGGAGCAAGAATAGCTTGTAGTATTGAAGGAACTTTGAATGAATGGAGAGGTCAGGCTAGTTGGTGTGACATGAAGTCTGTTATGAATTCAAGGAAGCTGCTTGGGATTTGCTGTGCATAAACTGAGTTTGTATTTGAGTTTGATATAGATCCAGAAAGCAAAACAATTCAGGATAACCTTCAGTTAGTTAGAATCTATTGGAAGGTATTTTTGTACAATACATATATTTGATAATTGAAATATTAAGCATTTTTTAAAATAATCGCCATGGGTTTCAAAAGAATGCCTTCTTGACTGGAAAAAGGGAGCACTTCTTTCTCTGTAGGGTAGTAGATTTATTGGAGATTTCAAGTGGCAGGGTCTTGATTTTTAAAAGAAGAAATTAACTGTAAAGCAAATTGATATTATTGGGAATGATTATGTATCACAGCCAGATGCTGAAGAAACGTATTTTGGCTCCTTTTAAAAGAACAGTGATCGGCCGGGACCGGTTTGGCTCAATGGATAGAGCGTCGGCCGGGGAACTGAAATCGGGCTCGATTCCAGTTAAGGGCATGTACCTTGGTTGCGGGCGCATTCCCAGTAGGGGGTGTGCAAAAGGCAGCTGATCGATGATTCTCTCTCATTGATGTTTCTAACTCTATCCCTCTCTCCTCCTCTCTGTGAAAAATCAAAAAAATATATTAAAAAAAAAAAGAACAGTGATCAGTTCTCTTTCAAATTATTGTCCCTTTTCAATATCTATGTATCTGTTTATCTACCCTATCTAATAAAAGGGTGATATGCAAATTAACCATCACTTTGTCACAAAGATGGTGGTGCCAATAGCCACAAGATGGTGGCACCCAGTCCTTTCAGCCCTCCGGAGTCTCCCAGCCCCGGGGTGGAGGTGGGGGGACAGCCATTGAGAGGAGGGGTGAGCTGAGAAGCCTGGTGGAATGCTTGCTTTGTTGCTGTGGCGACGAGGCAAACATTCCATGCCTGGCCGCAGATGGGCCTCTGGTCCATGGAGAGCCTCTGGGCAGTGGGCACAGAGTGGCCAAGCCCTGCAGAGAGCTACTGGGACACAGATTTGTGTGCAGAGCTGCTAGTCTATGTCTATCTATATACAGTATATCTTATATTTTAAAAAGACAACTGATTTCTAAAATTACAATGAATTATACAAATGTTTTAAGACATGAATTTTCCACATTTTATTAAGGACCCCCTCCCCCCCTTCATCCTTTTTGGTTGTACAGTTGAATGCAGTTATAGCAAAAGGTAAAAACATGGTGTTGTTGTTTTGCTTTGGTTACTAATGAATACTACCTTTTTACGTATTTTTCTCTTATTTATTTAAAATTTTTTTGTTTTTGTTTATCATTACTGCTTATTTTTAACACATGCAATACAGTTCAGCCTACCATCAATTCTATGAGGCGAATTAAAACTTTACTTTCCTATGTCTCTTCCTTCTCTTCCATCCTGCTTACTTAAGGAGAAGTTTCAGCAACAGATCTGGTCACACATTTTTTCAGATCTCAAATTTTTTTCCCTGAAGTTCAAACAAAGCACTGAATAATCTCTTTGCAGGAGAGCAAATAGTCTTGCCCTCTGTGGCCACCCCTAGACCTCTCTGCACCAGAGGCAGTTTACTAAGATTTTAATTTGAATAAGAAACCACATTATGACAATGTCAGGGAAAGAAAAATTGAATTTTGTTCATAGGTCAATCACAATCCATTGGACTTAAGTAGCTATATGGCTCTGCTTAGCTGATACCAATGTCACTAGCTAGTTATTAATAATAGGAAAGAAGCAAAGGAAGACTACACATTGTAAGCATGGCCATCTGGGCAGCTTCACCAGGAAGCTGCAATTACTCCCTGTGGGAATCACTAGCCAGGGAAATTTGGGTGTAGCCATTCAAATGCGAATGAACACGTTCTTTAGCTGAAGACTCCCAGCCATTCATATGTAAACTTGTTACCACTACCTACCTCAGGGTGTGAAATTTCTTTTCTTTTCTTTTCTTTTCTTTTCTTTTCTTTTCTTTTCTTTTCTTTTCTTTTCTTTTCTTTTCTTTTCTTTTCTCTTCTCTTCTCTTCTCTTCTCTTCTCTTCTCTTCTCTTCTCTTCTCTTTCTTTCTTTCTTTCTTTCTTTTTTTTAAAAATATATTTTATTGATTTTTTACAGAGAGGAAGGGAGAGAGATAGAGAGCTAGAAACGTCAATGAGAGAGAAACATCCACAAGCTGCCTCTTGCACACTCCCCACAGGGGATGTGCCCGCAACCAATGTACATGCCCTTGACCGGAATCGAACCTGGGACCTTTCAGTTCACAGACCGATGCTCTACCATTGAGCCAAACTGGTTTCGGCAGGGTGTGAAATTTCAAAAGCTGCTTACAATGTCTTGGGAAACCAGCTTTAATTTATCTCCCACTTTATCTCAACCATTTTTAAAGCTCATTCTGTACACAGAAAAGAGGTTAAGCACAGCCCAAAACTATGTGCACTCGTTTTGAATTGGCCTTTTCGCTTTACATGAGCACAGAAATTCGAGATGCATAAAAACTTTCTTGGGGAGTGGTTTTCACATTAAATCGCCAAGTGTCTCTCCTCCCCCACCTCCTGCCTGCTCTGGGGGGAGAGAGTAGCTAATTTACAAACAAGAGCAAACTGAAACCTTTAGTTATACAAACATACAAAGAACACAGAAACAGACAGAGAGTTCCTGGGAACAGTCTTCCAACTGTAGAATCAAAACCAAACGACGGCCTCACGCCGACTGGTGGCCCTCCAACATTGAAAGCTGGCCACCCACTAGAACAAGTCTGCCATTGGCCATTCCGAACCTCCACAACACAGAAAATCACAACAAACAACAAGAGGGCACCCAACATCAACATTTCAACTTAAAACCAGACTTGGGAGAGGTCCACTTCTCTCTTGCCTTTACAAGAGCACAGAAATTTGTTCATGAGGCCTCTTCTCCCAAACCCGATGCCGCCACCCCGGCCCAGGCCCCCAGAGCTAGGCTGCTACTGCTGCCGCCACCCCAGCCACGCTGCTCTGGCGGCCCCCCGAGGAGGCAGGGAGGGAGCCCGAGTCACCCCTTCTCCAGGCAGCCAGCAAAATTAACCCAGGTGCCTGGCCCCCTATCGAGGCTGTTGCTACCCAGCTGCGCTCTGACGCGCAGACCGAGCCCCGCGGAAGCCCCCCCTCTGACCCAACGCTGCCAGGGTCCCCACACCACCACACTGGCCACACTTTGCCGGCTCCATCCTGGGGTGCCTCGCCACCCGCTGACACCAAAATCAGACCTGGGAAAGTCTCCTGTCACTTTCCCGCATGTGAGGCATGGGCTCATGCTGCTTGCCTTGTCGTGGGGGAGGTTTCCATCCCTCTCTCACATGTGAGGGCCCCTCTAGGAGAGGATTCCACATCTCTCCTGCCTGTGAGGAGCCCTCCCAGGAGGTCGGAAGGTCTTCTGAATCCTCCGGCCCGTGGTCTTAAAGGCGCGTCTGCCAGACATATTCAGGCACCAACGACATGAGGGGCTTCCATGTCCCTCCAGAGCGCGCATACAAGGACACAGACACGCACACACTTAGCGCGGCCCTTCAGGCTCTCCAGATTGGAGACCCTTATGGTCCTGGGGAGCCCGGACGAGCCCCCATATGTTACGCCCAGACTTCCTGATCCCCAAGGACCACCAGGGAGCCGAGTCTGATGCAATAAACAAAAGAGCCTCTTCCATGCTAGCAAGGGCTCTGTCCCACTCATGCCGACAGAATGGTGGAAGAGAGCTCTTCATATTTATTGTACAAAGAATATTCACTTTGTGTATGCAATTTGAAATAGAGATCTCATCATACTCATTCATGTCAGTATGAGAATTTTACAGTGGACTTCTTTTTTACATTAGCTTTGAAAATAGTATAACAATTTTGATGATGTTTCTGAAGCTCTTCTAAAAGAAATTCTTTCAGTACTTTTTGTTTATGTTTATGACTCTTGTTTTTTAAGATCTTAACAGTGAAAGTAGAGGTTGTGATCATCTTGAAGAGGGGAGCAGAAACAAGAATGGTACATGTTCTGATTCAAAAATGGAACCCACTCTGATTTCCAGGAAGAGAAAGAAAAGGCTTAGAAGTAATTCACCTGATTCTCATAATTCTACTTCTTTGTATAAACCAGCAGAACTGACAGTAAGTAGAGGTATTTGGATGGGACATGAAGTAATTTGTGCTATGATAAAAATGAATTTACCATAGCCAAATGATGTTTTTCTAGCTTTATTCTTTTATCATAAGATTTCTTTTTCTCTTTTTTTAATTAAAAAAAGGATTTAAATGAAACATTTTTGCATTTAATACAGTTATTAAAATGAATTTTAAATATTATGAATGAGTTAAAAAGTTTAAGTTGCTCCTCCTTTGATTCCACTTGTTACTTAGTACATTGGTATACATTTTCTTCAGACATGTTTTATGTTATTTTCCTTTATTTTAGCCAAATACTATTTGTGCTGTCCATTTAATTGCTTTTTCCCTTGGTCTGTAAAATTATCATATTTATTTTATCAGTAAAAATTTATTTACTAACTTCTTTAAGCTTCTCTTATCTAGACTTTGTAAGTAAATAATTATCATATTTAGTGCATATAGTACCTATTTTCAAAGACTTAGTATTGGGTACCTATATAATAAAAGGCTAATATGCAAACAGACTGAATGGCAGAACGACCAGACACTATAATGCACACTGACCATCAGAGGGCAGATGCTCAATGCAGGAGCTGTTCCTTGATGGTCAGTGCATTCCCACAGGGGAAGCGCTGTTCAGTCAGAAGCTGGGCTCATGGTTGGTGAGCGCAGTGGCAGTGGTGGGACCCTCTCCTGTCTCCACAGAGGCACTAAGGATGTCCCCATGGGCTTCTAGACTGTGAGAGAGCGCAGGCTTGGTTTAGGGCTCCCCTGAGTGCACGAATTTCATGCACCAGGCCTCTAGTAAAAATATAAGAAGACAGCTTTTGATTCCTTTGATTCATAAGGCATTTCAGTTCTTTCAGTAATTTTGAGTTATTATATAATTATAAACATGATTTAGATTTATACAGTAACAGATGTAAAGGCAGTGATTGATTTTCATAATTTTTATATTGTTATCTGATTAAGTTTTTAATTTTTTGCTCTTGTTACTAGCTACTTCTCTACAATATAGAGGAAAGAGCATGGCTCCCGAAGATATATAAACATGATGTCATATGGCTCTTTACTTTTATAAAACTTAAAAAGAAATTCTCTCATTCTAAAGTTGACTTAGATCATGGAAGACCATCTGAAGTCCTTGTAAATATGGGAGCCTCACCAACTTATCCTTTTAAAAACTGTTCAGGCATCTGATTAGACAATATATCTTTATACTTGGGAAACAACTACAAGAGTAATGTAGTACAATTGTATAGTTTCCTATCCCTTTATTATAAAAATGATATTATATTTTTACTTTTATATTCTCCTTTAGGAATTTAAAATTAAAAAAATTCATTATGCTAGCCTATTTTGAAAAATGCTAATTTTTGTATGCATTTATTTATGTTTAGAAAGAAAACGACTCAACAGTATCATCTGAGTTTGAAAAGCTAAGTGAAAATCATGATCAAGATACAAAACTGCTTAAGGAAATTACACCTGAACCTATGGAAAGAGACTTTACTGAACTATCTTCACTTGATAGTCAGGAATTGGCTTTGAGTGCTGCTCCCAAAAGCACTTCTGACTGTTCAGTTACTGAAACTGTTGTTGAGAACTCTGTTTCCACTGATACATTGGGGAATGCTACCCAGGTTGAGAAGGATGAGAACAAGTTGAACACAATAGAAAAGCCTGTTTTAAGTGAACAGAGTGAAGGCAACCAATCACTGATCTCAGCTGAACCAAGTAAGTAACAGAAGGATTATAAAGGTCTTAAATTTTTCTTCTCTACTTAGTTATTTTATTTCTTCTTTTGAACAAATTTGGCTAAAACAATAAGACATTTATGACATTACTGTGAGATATATTAACTTTAGAAAAAGACTTACGGTTTTGGGACTTCATGAAGTTTATAATATTGATTTAGATAAAAACAATGTAATTGGAAGCAGAAGTAATTTTTTTTTTTTTAGATTAGTATACTGTAGTTCATCTCATCAGAAGCCGAAGTACACAGAGTTTAGGTGCTATTTAATTATAGTCATTAATTTTTATTTAATTTTCGAGTATTTGATGTTGTCACCTGGTACATAAAAGGTTCTAAAGGATATACAATGAATAGTCTTCCACATTTTTCCCTAGTCATCCATTTACTTCTCCTGGAAGCAACTAATAGGATTTAAAGTACAAGTTAGAGTGATGGTACAATACATTATCAGGACTAGAACTTGTTCCTAAGTTTTCCTCATGGCTTTATATCTATAGGTAACTGCTATAATAGTACTAATTTGGAATTATTGCACATAAGTAGTATAAATCAAATAATGAATGAGTGATAGGCCAATTTCAAAATTTAGAATAAAATTGGATGATTTAACTTAATGGGATTACCAAAGGTATATAGCATTAATTAGAAGTTCTCTTTCTGATAAGTGATTATTGAGACATATTTAAAAAAATAATTTTTCCTTTTTATTGTTTTTCTCCTTTTTTCTTTTTAGTTGTTGTTTCCAGTGATGAAGAAGGGCCCATTGAACATAAAAATTCAGAAATTCTCAAGTTACAATCTAAGCAAGACCATAATGTCACTAAGGAGAATGAGAGTATTTCTGAATCAGCATTGTCAGAACTACCATCGATTACTTGTGAATCGGTACAGGTAATTTATTTCTGCCTTCTGGTAGATAAATAGTGAAATGTTCACTTTTGGCTAAAACTATTTTTTGTTTTTATCAAGGAAAATATTGTAATAAAAGTTATTCTTTTTTATTTTTGAGGTTAATTTCAGAGAAATATGTATTTATCTTTATTTTGAAGTGAAAGGATTATACCGTTTTTTCTGGCCGTTTAAATTATTCTATTACTTTAATATACATATTTTTAATGGTTCTCATTAGACATTTAAGAACTCTATTGACACTTTCTAGGGTAAAAGTTTCCAATATTTATCTGGTCTTGCAATACTATAACCACTTGGACTTATTGTTTTCCCTCAGGTGCTATTATTATAGAGGAGAAAGCATGGCTTCTGGAGATAGACAAACTTGTGTTCAAATCCTGCCCCCGCCATCAGTTTGTTAAATTCTTTTTTATCTCCCTTCTTACAGAACATAATAAATAATAGTCTCTGATGGTTTACTGTCAGTCACTTGTGTTTTTGACATAGCACTTTGAAGAGTCTAGCTCTAAAGTAAGGTTCAAGTCATTTATTGTCAGTGTTTGTCCATATTATGAATCTCTGATTATGTTGTTTTTTAAGAAATGATTATCAGTGACCACAAGTACAGAATTATGGTAAACTTCTGTTGGTTTGTTTTTAAATAATGTCAGAGGCTGTTTTTCTGTAGAGAGTGATAAAGAATTTGGTCAGTTTTATAAAAACAGTCTGATGGTGTGATTAGTTTCACTAGTATTTCTATTGCATTAAGAATTCTATACAGAGATCACCTCAGCAACTGTGTTCTGAATTTTTGTTAAAATATAACCATTCGCCGAAACCGGTTTGGCTCCGTGGATAGAGCGTCGGTCGGCCTGTGGACTGAAAGGTTCCAGAAGAGGCATCTGGTCGATGATTCTCTCTCATTGATGTTTCTAACTCTCTATCCCTCTCTCTTCCTCTCTGTAAAAAATCAATAAAAAATATAAAAAAAACCCCAAACCATTCTTGCCCGTTGGGCAATATCATACTTGATGAATTAGTTGTATTTGTAATTAAAACAGTGTCATTGCTGATAATGAGTCCAAACTTCTAGAATCAGGGGAAGGGAACATCTGGCTAAGGCCAGCAAAATCATTTGGTCTGGCCCTGCCAAAGCATTAGGGGTGAATTAATTAAATGTTTGACCAAATATAGCAGGGTAATTAAAAAAAAATATTTTATTGATTTTTTACAGAGAGGAAGGGAGAGAGAGAGAGAGAGCCAGAAACGTCGATGAGAGAGAAACATCGATCAGCTGCCTCTTGCACACCCCCTACCGGGGATGTGCCCACAACCAACATACATGCCCCTGACCGGAATTGAACCCGGGACCTTTCAGTCCACAGGCCGATGCTCTACCACTGAGCCAAACCGGTTTTGGCTAGCAGGCTAATTTTTAAGTTGATAATTTTGGTTCACAAATTATGTTATAAATATCTAAATGGCCTTTGGCAGAAAAATGGTTCCCTATCCCTTTTCTAGATGAATTATAGTTCCGTTGGCAGCATATAAGTTTACAATGCAGTATGAAAGATCATATTATAGGAAAATTACAGGCTCTGGTTGGGTAGCTCAGTTGGTAATAGTGTCGTCCTAATACGCCAACGTTCAATCCCTGGTCAGGGCACACTCAAGAAGCAAGCAACTTAAACATAAACAGGTGGAACAACAAACCTCTTTTCTTTCTCTCTCACCAATCAATAAATAAAAATTAAAATAAAATAACATCTCATGTAGAACTGACAGAATATCATCACAGCAAATAGCAAAGAATGTGGAGACCCATCAACGTCTATTAGGCAGAATCATAACATCTCCACATTCTTCCTTGTTTTGTTTCAGGTGAAGTTATGAGAAACATGGATTGCTCATTTTTGGGAGGCAGTTAGTCTTTACAGACTGTGATGCCCAATAATAAATTATTTCTACTCTGTCTTATAATTTTATTACTTAAACAGAGAGAGACAGAGTTTTCTCCAACTGATTCCTTTTTTTTACTTAGGGGATAAGAATAGTAGACAATAAAAGACAAGAATGACAAAACATTCCATTAAGCAATCATTATGAACTGGGTTAAAAATGATGAGTACTGCCCTAACTGGTTTGGCTCAGTTGATAGAGCATGGGCCTGCTTACTGAAGGGTCCCAGGTTTGGTTCCGGTCAAGGGCATGTACCTTGGTTGTGGGCACATCCTCAATGTGGGGTGTGCAGGAGGCAGCTGATCCATGTTTCCCTCTAATCGATATTTCTAACTCTCTTCCTCCCTCCTTCCCTCTCTGTAAAAAATTAATAAAAATGTATTAAAAATAATGAGTATTGTGTAAGTTTTAGATGAGGACTAATCATATTTTCTGTAGGTAGGTAGAGAGTTAATACACATGCATAATTGCTCTAGTGATAATTTATTTGGGTACTTGGACTGTTAGGCTTAAAGCAAGATAATGTGCAAAGTCAAGGCAAACATGGAGTTGAAAAAGTCATTTATGCAGTGTAGAAATTCAAGTGAGGCTGTGGGCAGCAGCTACTGCTGATACTGCCTAGTCATCTGTTGTCATTTAAAAGCAGAGTTCTGTAGTTGTGTGGACGTGGTATGAATTTTGAAGTTTTAAGCAACCGGTTGGCTATCCTTACACATAGATCATATAGTAAGACATAGATTTCATGAAACTGATGGTGTTTAGGTACTTATATCTCTTTATTGCTCACTAAACTCTCAGTAGCTAGGAATATCAACTTATTTTTGGAAGCAATTTTATGTAGTTGCAATAACCTTTGACTTGGAGATAGAGACTTGAATTTGTCTTAGCTCTGCTTTCTACTAACTGCATTACCTTGGACAAGTCACTTAACCAATCCAAACATCCATTAACTTAAGAAGTGGAAAAAAAAAAAAAAAGAGAACTACTTCATGGAGTGGTTGTGAGGATGAAAGAGAGTGTATATTTAAAAACTTATTTTAAAATCACTATATAAATTTTAATTTACTTCTACTGAGTTAACAATGAATAAAGGGAATATTGAGTTTGAAATCATGCCTTTGCTATAGAGGAAGATTGATACAGTTCTAATTCCTAGAACATAGACCTGGAATTAATTTAGGATTTGACTATTTGGAATAATTTTCTCAAAGTAAATCATGAAGTTTTTTTTTTAATTTTTTTAATTTTTTATTTTTTATCATGAAGTTTTTAAGAAAAGTAATCCAGTAATATTTTCTCACAGTAAGAACAGTAAAAAATTCTCTAGTTCCATTAATAGTAATTTAAACAAGTATCTGACTTTGGAAAAGCATTGTCAACATTTATATAATATTTAAGGTTATAAGAATTTTATAATTTATCCCTTGTTAGGCTTCATCTGAATTATGTCCTGCCAAGGAAAACATTTCCTGTATTATGCCTAGTAATGAGATGGATCTACAACTGGATTTTACATTTACTTCTGTTTATATTGGTAAAATAAAAGGAGCTTCTAAAGGTTGTGTTACAGTAAGTATATCTAGATTTTTTTTTTTTTTTTTAGTTTTGGATCTTAAGAAAAAGTTTTATATTATCTTCTCTTTTATTAGTGCAAGTGAAAATAGAACTGAGAATAATTTGACATGGGACAATTTAAATTCGTCATACATACTTTGAAACATGTCTTTAATTGGAGGAGGAGTCCTAAAATCACAGGGGAATGTCCTAAAATTATATTTATGATTTGACTACTCTAATGAAAATCGTGTATAAAAACTACATATTGATATTTTCTGAGCTATAAAATTAGTGGTAAATTATATTTTTATTCAGGTTGTTGTTGGGAGTGCAAATAAGGAATATCATTAAGGCTTATATGAAATACTTCCTCTTCCATGAATCCTGTTGTGATTTCTCCTTTCTAGCTAGAATTAACTTCTCCCTTTACTGTGTACTTATAGCACTTTGTGTATCTATTGTAATATTTATTCTATGTGTTTATAATTGCTTATATTCTTGCCTGAACTGCTCCATTAGACTTTAAGCTTCTTGTGGTAAAGAGCCATGCTTTTATTTTTATTTTTTATCCTTCCATAAATGGCTAAAATCTAAGTAGGCCCTATAAACTTTAGTTAAAATGAATTATAACTAATTCATCAGATTATAACTCAGGTTTTCTAGAAGTTTTATTAATGTTTCACTGTGTTAGGAATAGGGCAGAGAATATAAAAATGGTAATACATGGCCTCTGCTTTCAAGGAATTTATAGTGTAATTAGAGGCCTGGTGTATGAAAATTTGTGCACTTGGGGGACAGGGTGTTCCTCAGCCTGGCCTGTGCCCTCTTATAGTCCAGGATCCCTGGGGGATTGGGTCTAAGCTGGCAGTCAGACATCTCTCAGGCAGCCAGGGAGCCCTTGGGGGGTGGATATCCGACTTGGACTTAGGTCCATTTCCAGAGAGTGGACTTTAAGTCGCAATCGGACATCATTAGTGCTGTCAAGGAGGTGGGAGAGGCTTCTGCCACTGCTATTGCTGCTGTCAGTCCGGTTTGTGCTTGAGCAGAGCTCTCCCTGTGGGAGTGCACTGACCACCAGGAGGCAGCTTCTGCATCGAGTGTCTGCCCCCTGGTGGTCAGTATGCATCATAGTGAATACAGTATGTGTCTTTCCTGGTCATTCCGCCATTAGGGTCAATTTGCATATTACCCTTTTATTATATAGGATAGAAGCAACAGACACATAAATAGAGACTTAGATTATGGCAAATTGTACAATGAAAAATATGTACAAAAAGGGTATATATATATATATATATGGAAATGAGTACCTGTATCTGTCTGGAGGAATCGGGCTACTTCACAGAGAGGACAGAACATGCTTTAAGTCATAAAGTAGATGTTTACTTGGTGACAGTGTGGGGTAAAACCTAATCCCAATAGAGTAAACATTCTATACAAATGCAACATATCCCTGTCGACTATAAATAATGATAGCTTTGTGATATAGTTAAAAATCGCCTTGATTGAAAGCTCAAGAGCAGTGTTCCCTGGTCACTAGTTTTCAGATATTAATGTTTGGACACACTTCGGGTGATTTTACAATTCTTCTTCAAGGGATTTCCCCCCCCCCCCCCCACTTTTTTTGCTCCCACTGCATTTTACTTTTTTATTTTAAATTCAGGTTTAACCAATTTGTTTGTTGAGTTCTTTGTAATGGCAAAAAATTGGATAACTTCAATATATGATAATTGATATGCTGGAGAGGGAAATCAAATATAAATATTCCACAGTTGGATGTTATTAATTAATGTATTAATTGCTACTACACAGTCAGGTGGGCTTGTTATGGGCAAAAAATAAAACCAAACAAAAAACTAGAAATGAATAAAAGAGTAATTAAAAAAACACCTATGATCTTGTTTATCTAGAGATAATTGCCCCTGATTCTAAATCGTATATCATTTTATATTCTTCATATTAGATATATATGTTTAAAATATACATACTGTTTTGTAACTCACCATACTTAAACTAATTTAATTAATGTACCTGTTTTAGGATACTTGGATTCCCTTGTCCTTAATTCTTGACTGTTAGACATTTCAGGTCTCCCAGTGTTTTACTATTACAAATAGAAGGGACTGCAAATATTCAATAACTGTCATAAAATATGTCTTAGAAATCTGTTTGTTGGAACACTTATAATTAAAGTAAAAAACTTAAATGTCTGATTATAAGAAAGTGGTTTAGTAAATCAAAGCAAATATATACAGGTAAAATATATGCATGTGAGTGAAGACTGAAAAGAATTAAAAAATAAAACAGCTATGTTATAATGGAGAAAACAAACAATTAAAAAATTACAAAAATATAATTAAATTAAAAAATTAAAAAGTATTAGCTTTTAAGATTTCAAAACACGTTTAATAATATGTTCTTTTTTAGACAAAGTTCACAATGCTCTGTAACTTAGAAATTTGGAAGGGGTAAATAGAGAATTAAAATTAGCCATTTTCCAAATGCTTAATGGGATATATTGTTGCAGACACTGGAGATATTGTTCTCACTCTCACGATAGTTACATTTTAGCTGAGCTAAAAAATGCCTATAATGGTAAACTATTATGTAAGAGAGAGCCATTTTTAAATAATTGGACATTGAAGTTATTATTACTTTTTTTTTTTTTAGTGTAGAGCAATGACTCACAACCTTTTTCATCTCAAGACACCTAAACTAATTACTAAAATTCTGCAGCACACCAAAAACAATTTAATGCCTAGTTGACAAAAAAATAGGTATAATTTTGATTGATTTACAAAAACGATAGTAGTAATTATCTACCCTTTTTGCTCCAGTGACTTTAAAAAAAATCAGGTGCCTACATTGGAATATAAGGATTTCTGGTACCAATAATTAACCAATCAGAACATTTTTATGCAACATAACCAATAAGATGCAATTCTATTATACTAGAGGCCCAGTGCATGAAATTTGTGCGCTGGAGGGGGGTGGTCCCTTAGCCCGCCTGCACCACCCTCTTGCAGTCCAGGATTTCCCTCTTGCAGTCCAGGATCCCTCGCTCCTTACCGCCCGCCTGCTCACTCCTTACCGCTTGGCTCTCGGCTCCTTAGCAGGAGGCTCCTCACTGCTCAGCCGGCTGCTCCTTAGTGCTGCCACAGAGGTGGGAGAGGCTCCCACCACAGCACTCGCCACTGTGAGCCCGGCTTCCGGCTGAGTGGCCACTCCCCCTGTGGGAGCGCACTGACCACCAGGGGGCATCTGCCCTGTGGTGGTCAGTGTGCATTATAGTAACTGGTTGTTCTGCCCTAATGGTCACTTAAGCTTTTACTATACAGATAACACTAGTGCCCCAGTGCATGGATTGGTGCACATTGAAAGGAAATTAGAAGAAGGTGGCCAGCGGGGCAGGACTGAGCAATACAGGCAGACATGAGCCCAACTCCCACAGTCCCTCCCTGGGTGTTGACCTGGGGTGGCACTGTGGCTTGAAGGTCATCTGTGGAGTTAGCAGGGTCTCTCTGGTAGGTGAGGCCCGTTGGCCTAGTCTTCAGGGATCAGACTGAACCCGGCTCTCCAACATCCCCTGAGGGGTCCCAGGAAACGAGAGCATACTCTGCGTAGTTGTTGTAGCTCAGCAGCTCCTGCGTTGAGCATCTGCCCCCTGGTGGTCAGTGCGTATTGTACCTATTGGCTGCTCATATGGCCAGATAGTTGGATGGTTGCTTAGCCTTTTATATATATTGATATATATTTATTGTTCAAGACAGGGCATTCATACTGCCTGGCTATTGTGCTGGCTATTGTAATTTTTTAATTTGACAATGTAAGGGAAAAAGAGATCTAAATAGTCAATATTAAATGTTTTAAAAATTCTTATGGCACATCAGTTGAAAATCACTAGTGTAGAGAATGCTGCAATAGATGTGAACATTTTGTGTTTAGGGCTCAATGTTGTTGATAGCAGGAAAATGTTTACTAAGTATGTATTATGTTCAGAGAAATCTATTGGCTATTGTAACAAGTTATAAAAATAGCATTCATGTTCAGCCTTTTTTCTTAAGTTATATAGATGTGAAATGATTTCAGAGAACTGGGTTTACCTTATTGCCACAAAAACATCATTTTTTTATTCTCACAAAATTGTTTTTCTCATTTTCTTAACTGGAAATTAAATTTTTGCTAGGAATAGGGCTTTGCCTTTCAGAGGTTACATGATGGCTTAATCATCATACAAATGTATAAGTGAGTATCAAATTCTTGCCAAACTGAAAGGTTTGATAGGACAAGAATACTTACAGTGAGAGAATGAGAGAATACATAGAAAGTAGAGGCCAAAGATACATAGATGCACTATTACTAGTTCATAATTTTGTAGTAATGACTATCAAATTTTAAAAGCATCGCTCTTTTATATTCATTTTCTATCACCAGTTATTTTCATTTGCTAAGATAACTTTTATGAGATTAAAGACCCAGTGAAACATGTCAGAAAGAATTTGGCAGTGGAAAATACAGGTCAGATATACATGGTGTTTCCCCAAAGTATATATACACATTGAGTGTAATTACAAGGACAGTGTTTATTAAAGTACATTTCATTTTCATTTAACAGCTGTCAGCTGTTAAAGTGTGTATACATTTTTGGGGACACCCTGTATGTAGCAGTTGTGTGAAAATGAGAATAATAAGGTGAATATGACTAAATTAAATTAGATAATGTGCTTATTAAAAAGATGCTAGTATCTAATAATAATAGTTCCCCTTGATTAAGGGACTTATCTAAAGCCAAGAGAAGTTTAGTAAGTTACTTAAGTATCACTTGCTATTTGTTTTAGTAGAGATAATAGAGGAAGGATTTGAATCCGAAGATCAGCTTTTAATTCATGTGCTATTTTGCTCAAATTTTGCATTAGTGCCTAACTTACACTATTAAATATGAGTTTTATATTTGTGAAACTACAATATGAAATAATTTTTAAATTGATAAAAGTAATGGAGTCACAGTAAATCTGTAATTTCATTTAACATTGTTTTTTATTTATTTGGAACTCTGTTGATAACTAATTTAGGTACCCATGTACCAAGACCATGATTTTGTTTTGTGCTCACAGACTGTACCCCTGATTTGGTCAACAATTTTATAAATGTGTTTGTTGCTCAGAAGTGAAACTTAACTAATGAATAAATAAATAAGCATGAATTCATTTGGCATTAGTGGAAAAACAAATGTAAAAGCACAAGCCTATTTTAGATGGTACATGTAAGATTTAGGTGCTATACAACCCTTGAGGGTTTATCATAAAAGCAATGTTTAAGGAAGTCAGATATATAGATGAGGTACCTAGAAAAAATTAGTGTCCTGGTAGAAGGAGCAGAAAGAGCAAGAACCTTGCTGAGTCCTTAGTCAGAAGGGAATTTGTAGCATGGAACAAGGAAAGATGAATACTGGAAATGTCAACCAAGCCAAAAATTACACTCTATTTTGTGATTGGTTTATTTACTAGTCAGTGACACCTTATTTACCAAATCAGTGACATCTCTTGGCAGTTTTTTTTGAATTGTCTTATTCTTTAAAAATTCAAGAAACATTTTTGAAAAATATACTGTCTTACTTGCTTTTTAAAATGAGCACATTGAGATTTAAATTATTTACACAGGGTTCTTTTTTATTTAATTTATTAAGGTGACATCCTATCTAATGAAGAAGGAATATGCAAATCGACTGTCACACCATCACAAAGATGGTGGTTTCCATAGCCACAGGATGGCGGTGCCCAGTCTCCTCAGTTCAGCTGGAGTCCCCCTGTCCTTTCAGCTCCATGAGAGAGGGGGGGTGGTAGGCACACGATGTGGCCTGACCCGCCCTCAGCTCCCCAACTGCCCAGGGCTGGCCCAAGGTGCAGACAATCCTCAGATGTCAGCTGCTCAGGTGCCCAGGGCTGGCCTGAGGTATAGGGAAGCTTTGGAAAGCAGCTTTCCAGCCACCAGGGCCACTCAAGGCTCAGGTAACTAGTGCTGGCCAAGGCATGCGCTGCTGGCAGTAGCAGCAACAGAGGTGTGTTGGGGGCATCACCTTCCCTTGGTCACCTGGTTGCTTCCTGCCCCTGAGGGCTCCTGGACTGTGAGAGGGGGCAGGCTGGGTTGAGGGATCCCCCACTCCATTGCATGAACTTTCATAGGGATCCTCTAGTCTCCTGTTGGATCTCTGTATAGGCCTCAGGGGTATAATTCTATAATCACCTATATTGTGTGTTCACCCAAGTCAAGGCTTCCATTCCATTTATTTCCCTTTAACCTCTCCTGCCTTTCCCCTCCCGTCCCCCTTTTCTTCTGGTAACCACCATATTGTTATCTGTCTGTGAGGTATTTATTTACTTATTTATTTAATCCTTTCACCTGCAGTTTGATACTTGGGATGCTTCCAAATCTGGGCTATCCTATCTAATGAAGAGCTAATATGCTAATTAGATCAAACAGAACTACAGTCCTCTGGATGACCTTCTGGACGAAGCCAGGGCTGCAAGGGCCGAGTCCCTTGCACGGATTTTGTGCATCGGGCCTCTAGTTATAAATAATGCTTGTTTAGGATTCTTAAACTTTCATAAAACTAAGTATTTACAGTGAAACATATTCTTGGTTTATTGATAAAAAGGCTGGAGTACTCTTTTTAGTATAGAGTTTGAATTTTGAAAATAAAATTTGAAAATTTGAATAACAGCAACATTTTAAGTGTAACTCAGTTTTTGTATTTTTCCTGTAGTTCACGCCGAAGTATGTTAAGATCCCATTTCAAGGTAAGCTACCTTGTCTTATGACCACTTTTCAATGTAATTTGTAGTATAAAATAATTTGTCAGCAAAAATTCTGAAATCTTTCTGCAACAAGTTTTCCATTTTCCCCTCGGTATAGAATTTAAATACAACCAAGGTTAATAATGTTTTTCAACATAACACTTTTTTTTTTTTTTTTTTTTTTTTTTTTTTAGCAGCTTCAAAAGGAGTTAAAATGTTTTTAAAATACTGAAAATAGTATACTATTGTTTTAATGACTTCAACTCAAGTAATATTAAGGGACTCATGATAATTTCTTAGGCTTAACAGAAATGATTTTTTTTGCTCTGTTTTAGCTTTTGATTTATTTATTTTTTCTTTTTTAAATTAAATCTTTATTGTTCAGATTATTACAGTTGTTTCTCTTTTTACCCCCATAGCTCCCCTACACCCGATTCTCACCCCACCTCTTATCTTTACCTCCCTTCCACGATCCTCATCCATAGGTGTAATGATTTTTGTTCAGTCTCTTCCCACACCTCCTCCCACTCTCCTTTCCACCCAAAGATTGTCAGCCCACTCCTTTTCTATGCCCCTGATTCTATTATATTCACCAGATTGTTCCGTTCATCAGATTTTTCATTCACTTGATTTTTAGATTCATTTGTTGATAGATATGTATTTGTTCAATATTTTTATCTTTACCTTTTTCTTCTTCTTCCTCTTCTTAAAGAATACCTTCCAGCATTTCATATAATACTGGTTTGGCAGTGATGAACTCCTTAAGGTTTTTCTTATCTGTGAAGCTCTTTAACTGACCTTCAATTCTGAATGATAGCTTTTGCTGAGTAGAGTAATCTTGGTTGTAGGTTCTCGATATTCATCACTTTGAATATTTCTTGCCACTCCCTTCGGGCCTGCATAGTTTCTGTTGAGAAATCAGCTAATAATCGTATGGGTGCTCCCTAGTAGGTAATTAACTGTTTTTCTCTTGCTGTTTGTAAGATTCTCTCTTTGTCTTTTCTCTTGGCATTTTAATTATGATGTGTCTTGGTGTGGTCCTCTTTGGATTCCTTTTGTTTGGGGTTCTCTGTGCTTCCTGACTTGTAAGTCTGTTTTTTTCACCAGGTGGGGGAAGTTTTCGGTCATTATTTTTTCAAATAGGTTTTCCATATTTTGCTATCTCTCTTCTTCTGGCACCCCCATAATTTGAATGTTGGTACCAGAGGCTCCTTACACTATCTTCATATTTTTGGATTATTTTTTCTTTTTGCTTTTCCAGTTGGGTATTTTTTGCTCCTTTGTATTTCAAATCTTTGACTTGATTCTTGGGATCCTCTAGTCTCTTGTTGGAACTCTGTATATTATTTTTTATTTCAGTCAGTGTATGCTTAATTTCTAGTTGGTCCTTTTTCATATCCTCAAGGGTCTCACTAAATTTATCGACCTTTTATAGAAAAACTGTGTTTTTGAATTCTTTATCCAGTATTTTGCTTTTCTCCATTTCTTTCATTTGTGACCTGTTTATTTGTCTCTGCAATTTGGCTGCTTCCCTGAGTTGATAGAGTGGCTTTGTGTGCTAGGTGTCCTATAGGGCCCAGAGGTTCAGCCTCCCCAGTTACCTGAGGTGGACCCCTTTGTGGGCTGTCTGCACAGTCTTGTAGTTAAGCCTTGATTGTTCTAGGTATCACTGGGAGGAATTGACCTCCAGGCTAATTGGCTGTGAGGATCAGCTGTGTCTATGATGGGAGAACTTCTGTGCTGGAGACACCCTTATGAGGCAAAACTTGCTTCAGTTGGGCTTTGGTGCTCACTGAGTCTGTTCCTTATGGATCTGAGGAGTTGTAATCTGGATGGTTCTACTCTGGCCTCTGGGTACACTGGCTCTTGGATCTCCAAGGAGTTGCTAATTTAGCCTCTGCTTGAGGCCTCCCAGCAGGAGCTATGGAGATTTGCAGATTCCTCTTCTTTGTTTGGGTTTTGGAGGTGCCCAGATGAGGCCTAGCTGTAAAGCAGTGGAAGCTGCTGAAGGGGCCTTGGGTCTTCTTTTGGATGTTCTGGGTCTCCCTGACTCAGCTGCAGTTTGTTAGGTAAGTTTAGATTAAGGTGACCAGATCGTCCCACTTTTGGCGGGACAGTCCCAATTCTTAACAATTTTTCCCATGTCCCGTGGCGTTTTTAAAAAAAGTCCCAAGTTTTGGAAAGAATCTTTCTAAAAATTGGGACTTTTTTTTTAAAACGCCGCAGGACACGGGGGGGGGGGGGGGGGGGGATTGTTAGAAATCAGGACTTTCTGCCAAAAGCAGGAAGATCTGATCACCTTAGTTTAGATTTCAAAGGACCAAGCTATTCATATGCAAAAGCCTCTGCACACAGCTTGGATAGGGCAGAGTCTCATGGCGGAGCAAACAGCAATGCTTTCCATCAGCCCTGCCCTACGAGGCCCCCAGGTCTCAATGTCCCTCTGTAATTGCTGCAAATAACACTGAGAGAAAGCTGCCCTTTAGTTCTGCCTGCTGCCAGACAGTCCATTTTCTTCTTGTATGAGTCTGGGTCCCCAGAGTCTGACCTGGAACTGGAGTTCAGAGCATTTGGGAGATTGTATTTCCCTGTGGATTGAAAAAGCCAGCTACATACTTAGTTGACAGCCTTCTCCACACGCACACCTCTGTATCTCTGCATTTTACTTTCCCACCTCCTCTGAGTCTCAGTGTGCTTTTCTCTTTCCTTATAGTTGTAGAATTTCCACTCAGCCAGCCTTCCTGTGGTTCTGATGATGTCCGTTTTGTCTTTGGGTTGTAGTTTTGAAGTGGTTGCGTGAGGCAGCAAGTTCAGGTGTTTACCTATGCCATCATCTTGGTTTCTCCCAGAAATGATGTTTTGATAGCAAGACACGTTTTGGTATATATAAAAAGGGAAAAAATAGGAACTGTAAGAAAAGAAGCAAAGGAAAATTTTAAGGTATACAAACAGGTGAAATGTTTTATAATATAAGAGAGATTTTAAAAAGTATATAATTTTTTACCTGAATAATGCAAAATAGATTGGGAAATATACCTGCAACTTGTAAAGACTCAGGCCATTTTCTCATTCTCTCTCCAACTGAAAAACTTTCAGAATAAATAATGACATTAAGAAAGCAAGTAATAAACAATATAAAGGATGCTTTGTGTGAGAGAAGAATGAAAAGGAAAATATATACACAAATAGCATTTTAGAAATTAATCATGTAACAGGAAGCTTTTATAACAAGACTGAAGAGGTGATCAAAATAATGTAATTGAACTCTCCAAATACTCATGTACAGAAATCACAGCTATGTGATATGATAATGAATCTATTAATTAGGAAGCTGTTGTAAGTAGTAAGAATATATAAGGCATAGAAGAAATATATAAATAGTCCTAATTAGGGGGCAGCCATCTTGTGTGTTGGAGTGATGGTCAATCTGCATATTACTCTTTTATTAGATAGGATAGAGGCCTGGTGCACGGGTGGGGGCCAGCTGGTTTGCCTTGAAGGGTGTCCCAGATCAGGGTGGAGGTTCCCTGGGGGTGTGGGGCAGCCTGGGCAAAGGGCCTGTGGTGGTTTGCAGGCCAGCCACGCCCCCTTGCTACCCAAGTGGAGGCCCTGATATCTGGGATTTGTGTATCTTCTACAATTGAAACTTTGTAGCCTGGAGCAGAGCCAAGCCTTCTGCTTGCTCCATGGCTGCCGCCATTTCTGTTTGGATTTGCTTACCTTCAGTTATTGAAACATTTGTAGCCTGGAGTGGAGGCATAGGCTGGTAATGGCAGGCGGAAAGCTTGGCTTCCTCCATTGCCTGGGAAACCCAAGCCTCCCTCCTGCTCTCTGTGGCTGCAGCCATCTTGGTTGGGGTTAATTTGCATACTTGCTCTGGTTGGTGGGTGTGGCTTTTGGGTGTAGTGGAGGTATGGTCAATTTGCATATTACTCTTTTATTAGATAAGATGCTTTCAAACTTTCATGTTCATATGAATCACCTGGTTTTTTTTTTTTTTGTTAAACTGACAATTCTGATTCAGTAGATCTAGGATGGGGCCTGATTTTCTGTATTTCTACAGGCTCTCAGGTGATGTCAGTGTCAGAGGCCAAGGACTACAACTGAGTGGGAAGGTTCTAAAAGATGATGAGGGGAGGAGTGCTAAGAAATTTATTTCAAGTCAGTACCTATCCTGTGTTTATACTTACTTAGCTGATACTTATATTCCTAGTTTAGCTGCTTGTTTTCTTAAAGTTGTATCAGATGACCTTTGGGACTTCTTTATACCAATTTATATATTTCTTTGAATTTAAAAAAAGGATCCTCAGAGGGGATTTTTTTTAGGACAGCAAGAGGGAGGAAGATTGATAATTCAGAGTGATTATCTAGAAGTTTTGAGAAGTAAAACCTTCAAGAACTTATAAAGAAATATCATCTTAGACCACTCAGATGCTCTTATATACTCTTCTTGAGAATCTTTTCATAGTGGCTAATCTTTATAGTAGAATTAGACTGCAGATGTTTTGGGAGAAGAAAGAGAGGCATAAATTGGCTTATGATAGAATTTGGAGGCCTGGTTGATAGTATTAACCAAGATAGAAATACCTAATTTTCTGAGTTATAGTATGCTTACTTTTCTGCATTACTAAGATAGTCTTTTTTTTTTTTTTTTCTTCTTCCCATTTTGCTAGTGCTATTGGAATTCTTAGTAAGAAATCTTTCTGGACACGTTTTTTTTTTTTTTTATGCTATGGAAATTTAATATTTTACATTCCTGGATATAACTGAGATCATGTAGTGTGAGAGACTAAATTGCTACATTTAATTATTTGGTCTTTTATAATTGTAATGTGGTGTTTGTTAATGTAATATTGTTTGGGGAATTTCAGCTAAGTCCAGTGCAGTGCACTGTAAATTATGCTTTTGAAAAATAATTATTTTTGAAAATATAGTATACTAGAGGCCCGGTGTGCACCGGGGGGTCCCTCCGGGTATCCTGTGGGTATCGGGCCAAATCCTTCAGTCCAGTGCCGCCTGCCGCTCCTGCTTATCCCAGCCCCGCCGGCCTGCCGCCGTCACCGCCGCTTGGTAGGCTTGCTGCTGCTCACTGTAGTCTCGGGGCTGCAGTGGCCAGCCGTGAGCCCTGCTTCTGGCGCTCATCAGTCAGCTGAGCGGTGCTCCCGCTATGGGAGTGCACTGACCACTAGGGGCAGCTCCGACGTTGAATGTCTGCCTCCTGGTGGTCAGTACTCATCATAGTGACCATTCGACCAGTCATTGGTTGTTTGGTCAGTTAGTCAGTTAGGTTTTTTATATAGTGTATAAGTATTGTATTGCTAAATAAATTAACTTATTAATTTGTTATATTTTATTTATTTTAGTGTCCGTGAATGAGGTTTTATTGCTAGTGGATACCACACATTTAAAGAGGTTTGGCTTATGGAAAAGTAAGGATGATGATCACAGTAAAAGGAGTCTTGCTATCCTTTTCCTCTGGGTCTCATCACATTATCTTCAGGACATTCAGACCCAATTAGAAAACTCTATGTTAAGCCAGCAATGTGAGTATAAAATTATTTCTGAATGTCAGGATTACCTGATAAGTCTTGTAAATAAGTAGTTTTCTTCTAAAATAATTTAATAAGATGTAATTTCACTTATTTGAAATTAAGTTCATTGAATTAAAAAATTTATGCTTTAGTATGTAAGCTAAATTATTTTATTTATTCACATAATTTCTCCTGATGCGATACTTTTTTCACTCAATCAAATGACATTATTTTCTGAAATAAAAGGAATACCTTATCTTTTAGTTAGTTACTATCTTGGCTACCCTTCTTATGAGTTTCTTGCCCTGATTTCAAAATGAACTATGACTGAGCTAATAAGTGACAAAGTTACATAAAATACAAAAGTATTTATGATAACTTCAACATTTTCTTTAGTTTCTAAAGAGAAACTCAGTTACTTATATATCCTTCCTCTAAGACTGGATTGAGTACTTTTCTGTATGCTCCCATTATACTTTCATATATATATATATATATATATATATATATATATATATATATATATTTAAAATTAGTTATTTTGCTATCACAATTTCAAATTAATTGGAAAGATTTATGATTGCATAGCAGAGAATTGGAAAAATATAATTAGCCATTTATAATCATTGGGGAAGAGAATGTCATTTGAGACCACTGTTGAAATGATTAAAGAAAATGATATTGAAAAAAAAGAAAAAGAAAAGAAAATGATATTGAAGGAAGTGTTTGATTGGAACATTTTAAAAATTAATAAATTTGACATATGGAGGCGGGTAGAGAAAAATAATTAACTGCTTTGTTACCATTCATTCATTTATTTATACATCCAGTAACAAACATTTACTAGACCTCCTAAACACCAGGTCCTGGAAATACAGAGGTCAATATCCTTTGGAGTTTACGTTCTAATGCAGTAAGGAGTCTAAAATTGTCAATTTTGGTTCTAGTTACTAATGGCCTATTTTTGGGATTTAATTTGCTTGGATTACTTTGCTAGTGGCTATATACCAACCTTACTATTAATAATAGTCAAGTTATTTTAATTATAATACCCTTGAAAATAACGCTATTGATAAAAATTGTTGTTGTTTTTTTTTTTTAATAGCAAAATCCAGTGAATTCATTTTCCTTGAGCTACACAATCCTATTTCACAAAGAGAAGAATTGAAATTGAAAGATATTATGACAGAAATAAGTACAACCACTGGAGAAGTAGAGCTTTCTTATCCATTGTCATGGGTTCAGGCATTTCCTTTATTTCAGAACCTTTCTTCGAAAGAAAGTTCTTTTATTCATTATTACTGTGCTTCAACTTGTTCCTTTTTTGCTGCTGCTGCTGAAGAAATAAAGATGCAATCCGTATCTCAGGTTAGCATATGATTAATATAATTGGTGAAGGGGTGGGAGAAGGTTTGGTGAAAATTCTTTTATTGAAATTAGGCTGATTTCAAAATGCTGTTTTGTCTAAAGGGCACAATAGCCAACCTGAAGAACTCCCAGTGCCAAAGCTAGAACAGTTTGATCAGCAAACTCAATAATGATAGTGTGTCATTATAACTAAAGAGTAACATGAATACCAAAAACTCTATATTGGTATAAATAAATAACTGAATTAATGAATGAATACATAAATAGTAAATGATGGATAAGGGACACGTCATTCTTAGAAAAGTATTCCAATTAATAAATATAAAGAATGAGAGAAGTATAAAACTACCATTAGAAAAATCAAAGTTTGATTGGGTGCTAAAGTTAATGGGTGAAAATTTAAGGAGAAACAGGATATGTGCTTAATCTCAAAGTCTCTTCCCCAATATGTTTTAGTAACAGTAGAGAATACTGGCAGACATCACCTTAACCCAAGTGATCCGAGTTACCACCACCAGTAATGAGACATTCTGACATAACAACCGTCACATCATACACCGAGAAGGGTATACCACTTCTGTGGTATTCTTCCAATATTGTATAATTTCAATCTAATCATGAGAAAAAAAACCCAGAGAAACCTGGTTGCAAAATAACTGATTGATACTCTTTAAAAATACCAAGGTTATGAAAGATAAGGGAAGATTGAAGCATTGTAAGGTCCTGAAACAGGAATAAGATAATAGTGGAAAAACTTGTTGAAATCAGAATAAAGTCTGTAGTTTACTGTATAATATTATACCAGGGTTGATGTTTTAGTTTTGATAATTGTACTATCCTATGTAATAAAGATATAATATGCAAATGGTTGTTACGCCGTGAAGTGTAATGACCGACCATGTAAAGACCAGATCACTGATCAGCAGGAGGGTGGGGCAGCGAGCTACAAGTGGGCAGCAGCGAGCTACAGGAGGGGGCAGGGCAGCAGCTATGAGAGGAGTTGAGGGGAGGGCGATGGGGGAGCTATAGGAGGCGCAGCATCGTATGGAGAGCTACTGGCGCATGGATTTGTACGCCGGGCTACTAGTGGTTATATAAGATGTTAATATTACTGGAATCTGGGAGAGGCTTGTATTCTGCAACTCCTCTGTAAGTCTAAAATTACCTTGAAACAATTCATAGTAAGTTTAAATATGCTCTTTAAAAGAAACCAAAAACACAAAACAAAAAAACCTCTAGAGAGAAAAGTGTTTATTAAGTTTGCTGTGGAGCATGCATGTGCATGTCTACCTACACACAGGGCAGTCTGTTTGGTCAGGGGCTAATCTGTTATTTAGAAGGCCTATAGGAAGCCACATTAGAAAGTCAAGGTGCGAGATTTTCGTTCTTTATGTATACATTAGAGGCCCAGTGCACGATATTCATGCAGGGGGGTGTCCCTCAGCCCAGCCTGCACCCTCTCCAATCTGGGACCCTCGAGTGATGTCCGACTGCCCCTTAAGGTCTGATCTCACAATCCAGAACTGCTGGCTCCCAACTGCTTGCCTGCCTACCTTCCTGATTGCCCCTAATCGTTTCTGCCTGCCAGCCTTTTATTGAAATTAGGGTGATGACCCCACCCCCGCTAGCCTGACTGATGCGTAACTGATCCCCTGCCAGCCTGTTTGCCCCTAACTGCCCTCCCCTGCAGGCCTGGTTCTTCCCAATTGCTCTCCCCTGCAGGGTTGATCACCCCCAACTTCCTTCCCTTGCAGGCCTGGCCCCTCCTGACTCCCCTCCCCTGCTGGCCATTTTGCATCCACATGGGGGCAACCATCTTCGACCACATGGGGGCAGCCATCTTGTTGTGTGTTGGAGTGATAGTCAATTGCATATTACTTTTTTATTAGATAGGATTGTAACAATTTTGCATAGTAACTATATTGTATATACAAATATATATTCTATTTTTACATTTAATAATGGAATATTAGTTTATATTATTATAAACTCTTTTAGTCCCTCTTTAAAATTTTTTTTCTGTTATCACCTCTTGTGTTCATTTTGAGCTGCACAGATTCTTTCTCTTAATTATAAAGCTCAGATTTATAAGTAACACTTCTACTGAAACTTTGATTATGTACAATATATTTTGATCAATAGTATTATTTTGATGCTAATATCTTTGCAGAAATTCTAAAAATATAGATATAATTCCATGATTTGGATTTCTTTTAGTCATATTTTCTCTTACAAGTCTACATTTTGACTGTTCTTTTCAGAGTTAATATGTATTTATGTATCTATAAGGGGACTTTTCTTCCCATTTCCTGTCAGCCCTCAAATATAGATGCAGCCAAACCCAATTACACCTTCCTGCAGAAGCAAAGTAGCGGTTGCTACTCACTTTCTATCACAACTAACCCAGATGAAGAATGGCGAGAAGTCAGGCACACTGGACCTGTTCAGAAGTATGTACCGTGTCATGTCTCGTTTGTAATAGATGGGCACGCTAGTTGTTTTTACTCATGTGGCTGATTTTTTTTTTTTTTTTTTGAATAGTTTGAGGACATTCTTTGAATGTTTTTTTAAAAAAATATATATTTTATTGATGTTTTACAGAGAGAAAGAGAGAGGGATAGAGAGAAACATCGATGAGAAAGAATCATCGATCAGTTGCCTCTTGCACACCCCCTACTGGGGATGTGCCCGCAACCAAAGTACATGCCGTTGACCGGAATCGAATCCGGGACCCTTCAGTCCGCAGGCCGACGCTCTATCCACTGAGCCCAACCAGTTTCGGCTCATGTGGCTGATTTTAAGTAGTCTATTTTTAAAAATGTTTTGAGTTTTACTTTCACACTAAATGGCTAATAATGAAAATAATATTTTTTCTAAATTTATGAAAAGTTAAAAAATTTTATTAAGAAAAACAATTGTGCCATTTCACTTAGTTTTATGTTAATAAGACAGAAATAGTAGCCAAGCTATCAAATTTTGTAAGATTAAAGTATTTATTGAAAATATTTAAATAGCAATGTATGATTTTTAAGATTATATATTTTATATCTGAATATAAAATAGGAAAATTAAATTATTTATGAAAGTGTACCTCAATTTAAGGTATTTTAGAATTTGTCAGAACTTCCCTTTTAGAAATTGTGTTTTTGTTTTTGTTTATATTTCATCTTTTGTACATCTTCTCATGGTGGGAAGGCAGAATCGGAAGTCTATGCATTTGAGAGTGGTTTTATTATATTCCTTTTCTGTGTTTTAGGGAAAAAAACACCACATGAAAGCACAGGATAGGAAAATAGCTAATAAATAGAAATTGTAATATTAGCATTTAAAATTTTCAGTCTTGCCAAAATCGGTTTGGCTCAGTGGATTGAGTCTGCGGACTCAAGGGTCCTGGGTTCGATTCTAGTTAAGAGTATGTACATTGGTTGCGGGCACATCCCCGGTAGGGTGTGTGCAGGAGGCAGCTGGTCGATGTGTCTCTCATCGATGTTCCTAGCTCTCTATCCCTCTCCTTTCCTCTCTGTGAAAAATCAATAAAATATATTTAAAAAAAATAAAATAAGATTTTCAGTCTTTTTTGGTTTAGGTGTCATGCTTATCAAGATTAAGTCAATTGCGGATGACTTTTGTCTTCTTAAATCTTTCTGGTTCAAGAAGTACATATTATACCTTTATTATTTACTATACTAGTGGCCCAGTGCATGAAATTTGTGCACATTAAAAGGGAATTAATTAGAGGAAATATTTTAATATTGCTATTTGCCATTTCTCTATAATAGAAGTGTCAGAGATGAAAGAAAATTAGTAAAATGTATATGAAAATAATATATACATTTATTAGTAAATAAACAATATGTCCCCGGCCGGTGCAGGCGGGGGACGCAGCCTCATGTCCCAGCTTCGCTGCGCATGTACCCCACCCACCCGTGCCTGCTGTGCACGCAGCCTCTTGCTGATTGGTCATTATAGCGTGGGGGCATCACAACCATTTGCATATTACCCTTTTATTAATATAGATACGTGCACCTGTCTATGCCAAGATTATATTATAGTCAAGAATTCACTGCTGCTACTGGTCTTATTTCTGAACTTCAAGAGAGGATGCTAGAAGAAAGATGCCTAATTAGTTGTCATCTATTTTCTACTACTTTTGGGTTGTATTCTAATTATTTCTTTCCCTTATATTCTCTTATGTTTTATATTATAAGCGCTTTATCATAGGAAACTTGCCTCCTTAAGCTACCTATTATTCCCATTACCCAGCAGCTGGCTTAGACTAGCAACCAGTAGAGCGTAGTTTTGATTGCTGGTTCTTTTGAATAGAACTAGGAATCTGAATAGGGATTCACTTAGAGTTGGAAAGTATACCATAGGAAAATCATCCATGGTTTTATTATTTCAGATTGTTGAAAGTTAAAAATTATACAGAAGATAGACATCCTCAGCAGTATTGTGATTGATTGTGAGATATAACCTATTGATTTAACAGATATTGAGACCAGCCTACATGAGAAGAATTAGAAAGGAAAAGATGCTCAATGAGACTATTATAAGTTGCTTATGAAAATAAAGGGAGGAAAACATACTTGTCAAATATTTTTTGCTCTATGTATTTTAGTTTTTGAATTCTACTGCCCTGCTATTGTACCATATGACAAATCTTTTTGATCCTAGAATTAAAAAAAAAAATGTATTGATTTTTTTACAGAGAGGAAAAGAGAGTGATAGAGAGTTATAAACATCAATGAGAGAGAATTATCGATCAGCTGCCTCTTGCACACCCCCTACTGGGGATGTGCCCGCAACCAAGGTACATGCCCTTGATCAGAATCGAGCCTGGGACCTTTCAGTCCGCAGACCGATGCTTTACCACTGAGCCAAACTGATCTCGGCTTGATCCTAGAATTTTTTTTTTATTAAATTATTATCTGTGTACATATTTTAACATTGCCCCCCCTTGATCCTAGAATTTTTAATACCAATATATTTTAACTCTATTTTTTACTTTTAAGGTTGATTGTATATCCTCCACCACCTACCAAGGGGGGGTTAGGAGTAACTAGTGAAGATCTGGAGTGCTTAGAAGAAGGGGAGTTTCTTAATGATGTAATTATTGATTTCTACCTTAAGTAAGTACAATGCTAACTGATCTTCTCATTTGCTTTACAGGTTTTGATGTGAATCTTAAAGTAAATGTTTTTATATCTAAAGTATTTAACTCTAGATAAAAGTAACCTGCCAAGATACTAGATTTGAAAATTTGTCTCCAAATGTTTTCTAGAGTTGACTGACTCAGTTGTATTCCCTTATTTTCAATAGATACTATGTACTTCAGAAGAGGCACTGTTTTTAGTTTGTTTTAGTTTTTGTTTGTTTTGATTTATTCTTCTTTGACTATTATTGTGATGAAGGAACTACTTAGATATTTACAAATCACTTTGGGAACTAACTGAAAAGAAGCAACTCTGTGTAGTTATCTATTGTGTCTTTAAACACAATTAAGAGTTAACAGTTATTTTAAAAATCCATATCACTATTTAAAAAAAACCTTCAAATTTTTGTCTAACCAAGCTGAAGGAATAGATAGGGAAGGTTTATCAATTTTCATGCAAAGGTAATTTGTTTCTAGCCTTTATTTTGTACTGTATCCCTTCACTTCTTTTAGATGTTTCTAATTATTTCATTGACCCCTCTCAAACTAAACTTATTGTCATTTTACCTAAGCCCTATTTTACTGATAATCCAGTACTTACTGTAGTCACTCAGGCCCCAAAACTCACACTAGCATTTACTATTTATCCTTAACATTGTAGATTTAATCTTTAGAAGTTTAATTTGGGTCCTTTTTTTAATTTTTTTTAGCTTCCATGTATCTATTTAATTATAGTAACTGTTTGGAATATAGTTATAATAACTGTTTCAGTGTCCTTTTCTACGTATTCTAACATCTGTGTCAGTTTTTCTTTTTCATTGTGAGTGTTTTTTGTTTTGTTTTGCTTCTTTGCGTGTCTGGTGATTTTTTTTGGGGGGGGGGTGCTGGACATTTTTGTATTCCTATATATATTAATTGAACTTTATTATGGTGGAACACAGATTTTTTGAAAGCAGTTAGATGCTTTTAAGGGTCATGCTTTTTGTAATTTGTTAGCCGAGACCAACAAATTAATCTCCGCCTCTGAGAAAAGACTTTTCAAAGTATTCTACCCTGTTCCTCATGAATCATGAGGTTTTCCAGCCTGCCTGGTAGGAAAAGGCATTATTCCCATGGCCTGTGGAAATGCTGGGTACCGTCTGTCTCATCTTTTCAGATAATTCTTCCCCCCAGCTTTGGGTATTTTCCTTACACCCGTATAATGATCAATGTGCTGTTGACTACTTGAGGAGGACTTTCTGAAGATGTTTGAAGTTCTCTGTGTAGATAGTTCTTTTCTTTCCAATATTCAGATCTGACTGCTTGGTCTCTTCTGAATCACATTCATCTCTTCAACTCGAGGAGTCTGTGAGGCCTCCTTGTGCTGCATCCTGGAAACTGTCAAGGCCGTTCTGAGGGCATTAGTGGAACTTACCTTTCACGTTTCTCAAAGATCACTGCTCTTTGTTGCCTGATGTCCAGGGTTTAAAAAAATATTTAAACTATTTAAAAAAATATTTTGCTTAATATTTATTTATTTATTTATTTATTTATTTATTTATTTATTCATTCATTCATTCATTCATTCATTCATTCAAGCAGAAGAGTAAATTTGGTCCATATTATTCAATCTAGAATGGAAGTGAAAGTCTCCCATTATCATGGACTCTTTACCCCCCTCCCCCCAAATCCCTGTCTACATATTGAGTTGCCAATTTTAACAGATTCTGTCTCTTGAGTTCATTTAATCTCTTTCTTTTGTTGTCATGATCTTTCTAGTACTCCCATCTCACCTAAATTATCATTCTACCTTTTTAAGTAGTCTCCCTGTATCTTTTGTCTCTGTTTTTTTATTTTTTTTATTTTTAACTTTTTCTTAAACTGCTCTAAGAAAGCAATTCTTAGAAACTTTACCTGTTAAAATGAGTTCAGACACAGTCTGGCATTTGAGGATCTTGATAATATGACACCAGTTTATCTTTTCAGCCATCTACATATATGTACTACGTAGTCCAGCAAAATTGAATTATAAACAGTTTGCTAAACAAAGTCCAATCCCTATTCACACTTCTGTATTAATGCTGTTTTTCCTGCTTCCTGGAATTCTCACCTCTTATTTAAACTTGTTGAAATTTTATTCCCTTTCAAGTGGTACCTTTGTGAAACTTTTCCTGATCTTTTAAACAAATATTATAACTCCCATTAAACTTCATTTGCATCTCTTTTATGGTACTTACACTATTTTGCCTTATTTTAAAGTTATTTGGTAGTTTTATAACCATTCTCCTTCTAAAGGTTAAGCACTTTGAATTTTATTTTTGTATCTTATAATAGTATCACATTTATATTTTATGAGATGAAATGGGTCATTTTTTGGGTATTTTAATATGTTTTTTGAATTAATTAATAAAATTTTATTTTTAATGCAGATTTAATAGTATTTTACTATACTTCCTTTTCTTGGGACTACCCATATCTCTGTTCTTATTTTTAGAGGGGATTCTAACTTTATTTTTTAAGCTACTTTCTATTTCTTAAATTGATGAGTAACTTTGAAGTCATACAGTATAAAGCTGATGTTCACATATGTATACACCTTCTTAATCATCATTCAGACCAAGCATTCTTTGTGTCTCCTTCCCTGTAGTATATCTTTCCCATAACCACATTATAGAAAAACATCACATTTTCTTAGTCTGTTATGTTTTTAAAAAAAGTAATTATAGGGTAATTTTCAAACCTGCATAAACATTAAACATAGTTGAGTTCTGCCCTGGCCTGTGTTGCCCAGTGGTTGAAGCACAGGCACAGGTACCTAAGGGTCTTGAGATTGATTCCCAGCCCTGGTTGGGACAGTGCGGGAGGCAACTAATTAGTGTGTCTCTCTTACACTGATCTCTCTCTCTCTCTCTCTCTCTCTCTCTCTCTCTCTCTCTCTCTCTCCCTCCCTCTCTCTCTCTCTCTCCTCCCCCCCCTCTCATTTTCTTAAAATCCAGTGGGAAAAATACCCTCAGGTGAGGTTTATCAACAAACAAAAAAAGGAATACTTGAATTCTCTAATCATGAGAGGTTTAATTATTCAATGTTTGAATTATAATCTTATGTTGAATAACTTTTAGTATAGAAATGGACTAAGAATTTAGAAATTTGCCATGTCTCAGAATTATTAAGATTTTTTTCTTTTCTTTTTTGTCTGTAGTATAATATGGTACTCAACACATGTTAGGTATTTGATAAATATTTGTTAAATGAATAAGTGGGCAATTTCTGCTTTCAATAGTCTTGATGCAGGTCTTTGAAGTAACTAAAAAACAAAAAGAACTGAAATTAGAGCAAATCGCAAGATTGCTTTGAATCTAATTGGATATAAAAATGAAGATTCTCAGAACACATAAGATAATTGGGGGAAAACCAGGTAAAATCTAAAAATAATTTAACTTTGTGGTGTTGCTACTTTACCAGGTATCTTATATTGGAAAAGGCATCAAATGAACTTGGTGAACGAAGTCACATTTTTAGTAGCTTTTTCTATAAATGCTTGACGAGAAAGGAAAAGAACTTAACAGAAGATAATCCAGATCTTTCGTAAGTCTATCTTCCATTGTACTTATGTTTTGAGAGGCAAATATACCATTTTGATGTTTCTAATGAAATAACCTCGTAGAGTGTTCCGTTGAGTGAGTAATACTATCACTTGTGTAGGTGCTGAGCCTGTTGTTCTGTGAGACATTTCTCGCCCTCCATGATACTGCTCCCTCTCAAAGGGAGGCGGGCTCTTGGCTGCATTTTCATTTGCACTTCCTTTGGGGGACACTGGGAGCTGGAAGGAAGGAAGGAAGGAACTAGGTGATTTCTTTACCTTCCACCGTGGGCAGTGATTCTAGCAGTTTCTCACCCTAAAGTATAAGCTCCATGAGGTCAGGGACTTCATCTGCCTTATTTTCTACTATCCCTACTGCCTTTTACTCAATTCTTGGTACATGCTAAGAACTCAAAACGATACATAATAATGTGTATTATTTAATGGGGAGAGAACTGTTAGATATTTAATTGAGGATTTTCTACACAGTTAGGAACTGAGAATAAGATTAATTTGTGGTTCCCATATTCTCTCCTATTCTCCTTGCCCTATTCCATGTGTAATATATTCCCAATCAAATAAAGTTAACATAATCAGGAAATATACCAAACACCAACATAACACAGAAAACTTAGGCATCCTTGTGATTTTCAAATGGAGAAATTAATAGACTATACACTAGAGGAAAGCAGTTGTTTATATTCTTGTAATGGTTGGGCCATTCTGAAATAAAAAAAATCAGTGAACATGTGACTCCATCTTATTTTATGAAGTTAGTCTTTTACACACAGTGTTCATTCCTGTCACATCTTTTAGCCCTTTCTGGATCCCATCTTATTTCCCATGTCTGCCCTTGCAAGTTTGATTAGTCAGATGAACAGGTATTGGGCAAAGATGTCTATTTCCTCTGTTACTTGATATATAAATCTTTAAGAACTTAATGATTTGTTTAATTTCCTGCATAAAAAGAGGTTCTTCAAGGGATGGATCCCCTGATCCAGAAGTCACATACCACCTCCTTTATGCTACTGTTAATTGCCACCCCCTTCCTAAAATTATTTTTTGATATCCAAACTTAGTTTGATATCTTCCCTGATGGATTTAGTAAAGCAGAGGTGGGGAACCTTTTTTCTGCCAAGAGCCATTTAGATATTTATAACAGCATTCACTTAATATAATTCACTTAATATAAATTTATGTTGCTATGAAAAAAAGCTCCTAGATTTATTGAATTTCTAGTCCTACCTGCGTTTGCCTTGGCAGGGCCAGACCAAATGATTTCTCAAGCCTTATTGGGCCCATGGACTTTCCCCACCCCGATGTAAAGAAATAAACTATTTCATGTTTGTTTTTTGTGTGTGTCTCACCCTTTTTATAGGTGGCTTTCCTAGATGCTGTAATGTCATTCTTTATGACATTTATATCATATTTTAATTATTCGTTGTGTGCTTTTTTCTGCCCTCATTTTAAAATAAATTCATTTAGATCAGTGTGGGTGATGTTATGATTGTTCTTAGGAACCTAATAAATATTTGTTGAAGTAATGAAATGAGCCGAAACCGGTTTGGCTCAGTGGATAGAGCATCAGCTTGCGGACTGAAAGGTCCCAGGTTCGATTCTGGTCAAGGACATGTTTCTAACTCTCTATCCCTCTCTCTTCCTCTCTGTAAAAACTCAATAAAATATATTTAAAAACAAAGAAATGAAATGAAAGATGGATATACTTAACTCATTGTCTTATAGTTTCTTTATATAACAAATGAAGGGAGTCAAGTGTCGGCTTTAAAAATCTCAGAATATCTGCCTCCTTCCTCTTTCATTATGTTTTAAAACACCTTCCTATTCACAGATATAATACTTAGACAATTCTGTTAAGGTTTAATAATAGTGTTTTATACCATGTGAAGATGGAACTAAACAGAATAAATAGGTATAGTTGTTTATATTCACTTATGCCACTTGTAAAATCTACATGACATTTTATAAATTGTTGCCTTCTATTACATTATTTATAAACAGAGATTAGATTTAAGAATACCCAGGAGTTAATAAAAGGAGATAATTTTTTAATGTGTTATCTTGAAAAGGATGGTTAGGTAAACTAAACCTAGCAGTTTTCAGTTATAAAAATGACTCTTGAATCCTTATCTTAAATTTTTAATTATTTATATATCAAATATATCTATTTTTCATATTCCCAGAATGGCCCAAAGAAGACATAGAAGGGTAAGAACATGGACTCGCAACATAAACATCTTTAATAAAGATTACATCTTTGTGCCTGTAAATGAGTCGTGAGTATTTCGGATTATTTCAAAAGAAAATTGGAGAGGGTGCAGAAAAGTATTTGGGGTGTATTTAGATAGATAATCCGTAAAAAGTGTGCGTATATTAACCTTAGGTGTAATTATTATTTATTTTATTTTTACTTTTTCTTTATTGATTAAGGTATTACATATGTGTCCTTATCCCCCAATGCATGTCCTCTCCCTCCCCTCCCCCCCATGCCCTCACCCTCCTAGTGTCTGTGTTCATTGGTTAGGCTTTTATGTATTTGGTTGATCTCTCCCCCTTAGCTCCACCCTTCCCTGCCTTCCCTCTGAGATTTGACAGTCTGATTGATGTTTCTCTGTCTCTGGATCTGTTTTTGTTCATCAGTTTATGTTGTTCATTATATTCCATAAGTGAGGGAGATCATGTAATATTTATATTTCTCAACTGACTTATTTTACTTAGAATAATGCTCTCCAGGTCCATCCATGTTACTGCAAATGATAGGAGTTCCTTTTTACAGCAGCATAGTATTCCATTGTGTAGATGTACCACAGTTTTTAAATCAACTCATTAGCTAAAACAATGAGTTATATATCTTGGATTTTGTTTTGACAGTGGTTATATTGTAATTAATAGTAAAAAAAAAATGACAAATGAGCACAAAACTGTAATGACTAAGGCATTGAATGTTTTTTTCAACTCAAGAAAAGAACAAAAGATGTTAGCATGAATCTTCAAATATTTGAGGGTAAGCTCTTTAAGAACTAATAGAAAAATTATTATGCTTCGAGTCTATTTATTAAAGCAAATCCTCGACAGAAAACACTGACTATAAGAAAGTAAATAAGTTTGAATTGCTCAGATTTTATCCTAAGTAGTCTTACTTCATACTTATAATTAGTTTTGGAATGTGTGTTCTATATTATATCAGATATTTTAATTGATGTCTTCTAAATTCAGTTTGTCACACCCCCTTTTTTAGCTGTAGTTCTAGGATGTATTCTTAGGCATTGTTTAGATTTTGTGTTAAGATTGTATTTCTTTTTTGACAGGTCTCACTGGTACCTTGCAGTCATTTGTTTTCCGTGGTTGGAAGAAGCTGTATATGAAGATTTTCCACAAACCATATCCCAGCAATCCCAGGCTCAGCAATCCCCGCCCAACAAAACAATAGGTGATAAACATAATGTAAATGGTGTTTTTAATGGCAACAACAATGGAATGATAAGAGGGAACATTATTACGTTGAAAGATACATAGTTATTTATTATTTTTAAACTTACTAGAAGAATAAGAAAGCTGAAATTTTCATGATATATGTCCAGCCTCCTATATAGATAGTATATAATTTTTATATACTTTTATATCGAGTTTCATCATGGCACTTTTTATACCATAATCTTGCCGTCATGACTAAGGACCTATGCTGTGGATCTTCAATCAAGCTTGAAATTCCCCATTTTTTCTTAATATAAAGTAACGCAGTTTTTGTTGACACAGTAATTTGGCTAGGTAATATGGGTCTCTTAATAATTCTGTCTTGATTTTTCTTATGTTACAACCCAGTTAAGCAAGTAAATAAGCCTACTTTCTTTGAAGAAGAAAAATCAAAATTATATCTTCTATAGCTGTAGCCCAAGCAGCAAGCAGAATTAATAATAGTCATTATCATTAACACTGACCAAAATCCTGGGGTGGGGGGAGGGGGGTTGGAGGGGCTGTGTGTATCTGACAGAGCAACTGATTATTTTCAATTTTCTCTAATCATCTTCTTCTTAAAAAGTATACTTATGAAACACTCTATGATCATAGGTTATAAGAACCATTACTAGACAAATTAATGCTCCTCCACATTATAAACAACAGACATTTTGCCTAGCTGGTGTGTCTCAGTGGTTGAGTGTTGACCTATGAACCAAGATGTCATGGTTCGATTCCCAGTCATGGCACATGCTCTGGTTGTGAGCTTAATCCTCAGTTGGCGTATGCAGAAGGCATTTGATCAGTGATTCTCTCTTATCATTGATGTTTCTATCTCTCTTTCCCTCGCCCTTCCTCTCTCTGAAATCAATAAAAATATATATTAAAAAATAAATAGAAACAGCAGATATTTTAATTAGTGATCCATTTTTGAAGATTGTCTTTTTATAAGAAACAGACCCAGCTAACTGGTATTTCAAGTTTGGCTCTGGGGTTTATGTATTGTCTGATAATAGCTGATTATAGTCAGTTTTACTTGTTGATTGAATTTTGTTTATAACTTCAACCATGAAAAAGTTTAAATAGATTCCAGGTATTTTTTCCCCTTTAAATACTATATACATACAAATTAGAATTTATGCTTATCTAAATACTTAGTATTAGACAGAAAGACTCATAACTGCTTTGTTATTTCTAACTAGATAAAGATCTTCGTACTACTTCAGTACTATCCTTGGGTACAGTGGATTCCCAAGTAAGTGTATTCTTTATAGATTTGAAGAAAGGGAAACTCATGAATCTGTAAAATTATGCATAGCTAGGTGGCTGTGGGACCTTGGTGGCCCATAATTAAATTTTTGCTACCTATGATTCTTTGATGGATTTTGTGGGAGTAGAAAAGAGAACACGAGATATTAACATTCTTTTTGTATCTGTTTATCTTTCTTTGACTCCTTTGGTTTGTTTAGTTTTGTAATAGTTTATCTGATCATCTTAGTTGACTCTTTCCTCATTTATGTGAGTCAGATTTACTTTTATTCTTCCTTATGTTAGCAATTTTTTGAACTTAGCATAATTAATAAACTAATTTTTATATTCTACTTTCTTATATTCTACAAGCATATTTTTATATTCTACTTTCTATTGTGAATTGATAAAAATTATTCAAAATAGAATCAAGGCCAACCCACATGGCTTCTGAGACTAAGATAGTTAACTTTTCTATATAAGGGCCTTAAAACTTGTATGCAAGGTCTACATTTAGTGTCTTAATCGATTAAGGTAGCCACCAAATGAATTTTTGGTGAGCAGAGATAGCAGCAGCCTCCCTGGCACAGGCCTGTGTCTTAACTGTCACTGGTACTGGGCAGATGGAAGGAAGGTGCTTCCTCCTCTGTTGGTACAGCGGCAGGATAGGGAGTTCTTTCTTGCTTTTAAGCCAGGTTTCCCAAATTGGGTTTCTTGGAATACTTGTTCTAAAATGCAGTTTATGATAAAAAGGGATTCTAAGATCAGTTAATTTGGATAAACCCTGGATGCGATTTCTGTTTTAGAGATCCACTGTTACACAAAATTCATGCACTGGTGGGGGTGGGGAGCCCCTCAGCCACAAGCGGACACCCTGTGCACAGTCCAGAACCCCTTGTTCCTTACCGCTCGCCTGCTCTCTGCTCCTGACTGCTGGGCTCACTGCTCCTTAGTGCTGCTGCTGAGGTGGGAGAGACTCCTGCTGCTGCCACTGCGCTCGCCAACTGTGAGCCTGGCTTCTGGCTGAACGGCACTCCCCCTGTGGGAGTGCACTGACCACCAGGGGGCAGCTTCTGTGTTGAGCATCTGCCCCCTAGTGGTCAGTGCGCATCATAGCGACTGGTTGTTCTGGTCGTTCCACCTAACTGTCGTTTAGGCTTTTGTTATATAGATAATTAAGAGACTGAGACGTTCTGCTTTAAAGAAATGTTTGTTTGACCTATTGTTTCTCAAATTTATCAACAAAAATATCCATCCTTTTTGTTTAATAAACATTAATATTTTGCTTTTTGTGCTTCAGAGAAAAGAAATATGTCTCTACTGACATTACTTATTGAGGTAGAGAATATATGTAAGCATAGATTAAATTAATTTGCTTATCTTTGCTGAAGATGATAACTCTGAATAGAAGTAATTAATTAAAGTTCCAGATTATTTTTTAGGACATATTAAAGGTTCATAACTTCTTCAGGCCACATGTAAAACTGTGTAAACTACTGTTTCACCAGTACCTTACCTAATAATAGACAAACATGTAAATTGACCTTACCTCTGCTATGCCACCAGCCAATCAGAGTGAGTATGCAAACTAACCCACCAAAGATGGCAGTTAATTTGCATACACAGATGCTGAGAGACCTGCATAGATGCCTGTGTTATCACCATGGCTACAATACAGGTGTTCCACCCTACCTCAGTCTCTCAGGGCCTCTGGGCAGATTGGGAAGGCAGGGCCGGAGTGGAAAGACGGTGCCAGCAGCCAAGGGAAGGAAGGCCCGGCCTAGCACGAATCTTTGTGCATTGAGCTTTTAGTAAGGAAATAAATTAGTGCATTTTGAAAAGTGCATTAGCTCACTTTTGATAATGAAAATAACTCTTATTTGAAATTTTAATTTCAAAATTATTTGAAACATTTTAGAAAGTAACTTAATTTATTCAAACTAGTTTTAATTGTAAAGTCATAAAAATTTATGTTATTTCAGAGTACTGAGACAAGTATGTCAATACCAAAGAAAGTGTGTAAAAGGTAGGTACATGCTATAATGATATTTTCAAATATTTAGGTTCACTTCATATACAAATATGTACATCTTGATTTCTTCCTTTGCTCTTAATAGGCCATGCATTCTCATACTAGACTCCTTGAAAGCTGCTTCTATACAAAACACAGTTCAGAATTTACGAGAGTAAGTAATGACAGTTTATTCTTTAGTTTGTTACCTAAAAATCTCAATAATTTTGAAGATATTTTAAGAATTACTGAAAATGCTATGATAATTATATTTTATTATGCATTTAGATGAGGCCTATAAGTTTAAGCATTAATATTTCTCAAGGACTATGTCAAAAGTAAATTCAGAATTTGTATTCATAATTGAACAAAAGCACAACTTTACAAAGGAACAGTGCAAATGTTAGTGGTTATCAAAAGTAATACTTTAGGAGATAGACCTTAAATTCTTATTATGTGTGTGTATGTGTATGTGTATGTGTGTGTGTGTGTGTGTGTGTGTACACGTATGTGTGATTTTGTAATTTATTCTAAAGATCTGGAAAAAAACTAGCAGCTAAAATTTTAAAATAATTTATTAATCTACTTTTTGATATAAGTAACTTTATATTTTTGATTTGTTAAAGTTGAGTTGTTAGAAAAGATCCAGCATTTAGTTAGAAACTAAGATGATTTTCTTTAAAGTAGGACTTTTGAAGCCTCACATATAATTTTTACTGTTAAAGTTCAGTCTTTGGAAATTAGGCTTGAGCCAACAAATGTTTATTTGTGAAAGTGTTACATAACAATAATGAGATTTCTATTCAAGTCAGTCTACTTTTTAATGATTTAAGGTATTTAGAGGTAGAGTGGGAAGTTAAACGAAAAACTCACCGTGAATTCAGCAAAACAAACATGGTGGACCTATGCCCTAAAGTTCCTAAACAAGATAATAGCAGTGATTGTGGAGTATATTTACTGCAATATGTGGAAAGCTTCTTTAAGGTATGTAAAAATATAAATTTCTTATTCACAGTTACCAGTATACAATCACAAATTACTGGGCAAGCAAAGAAGCAGAAAATGTTATAGGTAATCATGGAAGGAAGGAAGGAAGGAAGGAAAGAAGGAAAGAAAGAGGGAGGAAGGGGGGGAGGAAGGAAGGAAGGAAGGAAGGAAGGAAGGAAGGAAGGAAGGAAGGAAGGAAGGAAGGAAGGAAGGAAGATAGTATTAGTGAACTTCAAAAAAGAAAAAGACATTACAAAGTATCCAATTTGCTTGGAGAAGAAAAAGAATATAAAGAACAGAGCATAAGAGATAAGTGTGATACAGTCAAAAAGTCTAATTTACATATAATTGGAGTTCCAGAATGATTACTGGTGGGAGTGGGGGTGCATGCAGAGAGTAATAAGGCAGATAGAAATTCGAAGAAAAATGTTCAGAACTAGATTCATGTAATCAAGTAGTTCAGAAAACCACGAACTAGATAAGTGCAATGACAAGCCTGGGTGTTATTTTCTAGCTCACCAGGGACTCCATTGAAGCTGCAGCAATATTAAAGGAGAAATTTTAAATAACAAAGAATTACTCTTTGCTTTTTGAACTGTCAGCTTACTATTAATACTTCAGTCATTACCAGTGTTGTTAGTATATTTAGCAGGTTATTTATATTTGCTTGGAAAATCCTTTAAAGGTTACAGTACTTTCAAAGTAAGGATTATAAGGTACAGTTAAAACTTTTGGTATAATTGGAAAGGAATAACATAGAGGAATATGGTACATGTTATGAAAGTCACTGAAATATGTTAATATTTTTTTCACATTGGAAGTTCATTAAAGGGAGTCAATTCTAGACTTCTAATACTCTTTCCAAAGAGATTTGGTTTTATTTTTATAATATTCTAAGTTCCTTATTACACATTTTGAGTTTGATACATAATTCTACTTTAATAGCCTCAGTCAGTAGAATATGCTTCTAATAAAGGTTGTAAGATTTCTGGGGTGTGGGGGAGGGGTGTGGGGAGAAACTAAAAAAAAAACTAAACCATATGTTTTACAAATTTGGGCATAAATTTGTGGAAAAAAATAGGTCTGGGATGGATCACTCACAACCCGTGGAACATGTAACTAAGCCCTAACAAAATATTAATTCTAATAAAAATACTCGCATAGTTAAATCACCACTGACATTTGCTCTGAGCATCATAGTCCATTTTTTTTAGCATTATACCCTGGGACTCCTAATTTCTTCTTCAAGCTGTAAATCCTTCTTATATCTGGCTTCTAATAGTTTCATCAAATTTATAAACCTGATCTAGAGGGAGCCTTCTTCAGCAGTTATTTTTTTTTTTAAAAAACTTGCAACTTCCTTATTAAGCTTAAAATAATGGAAAAAACAACTGTTCTTGAAGCCAATAAATTGGCTGTTTTTGCACTAAAAGAAGGCACTTCTTCAGGATTTGATGTGTTTTTGTTTTTTTTTAAATTTGAGATTCTTCATTTACTGCTAAGACTTTCTCTTTGTTTTAATAATTTCAAAATATTAACATGTTGAAGAAAATTGTGTTTAAATTAACCTGACTTCTGCATTGAACTGTATCATTCTCTACTACTAATCTGTTTTGCACTAATCAGTTAAGCACCCTTGTAACAGAACAAACAGGATTTATTTTTGTTGTTCAAAAGTTAGCAATTTAATGGAAATGTTCTAAAGTGATGGTGGTGATGGTTGCACAACTTTGTGAATATACTGAAAACCATTCAATTGCATCTTAGGTGAATTTTATGGTATGTGAATGGAATCTTAGCAAAGTTGTTATTTAAATAAAGTTGGCAATTTCTCGTTTCTTGTAAAAATGAAATTCAAACAAGTCTGAATCATACCACTAGAATGATTGTATTCTTTCTTTTCTCTAGGACCCTATTGTTAACTTTGAACTCCCAATTCATTTGGAGAAATGGTTTCCTCGCCATGTAATAAAGACCAAGCGGGAGGATATTCGCGAGCTCATTTTGAAACTTCACCTGCAGCAGCAGAAGGCCAGCAGTAGCTAGTTAATCTGGACAAAGATGACAGATGCTCTACACGATTACAGGAAAGCTGCTTACCAGCATTTGTGTTAGCCAGCTCACAGAGAAGAAAATAACTTGTAGTAGTTTTATAAGTCATTGGCCTTTATTTAAAATATATAAGGTGTCTTATTAGATTGTTGGGATCTTATAGATGGAGAAGAGATGGGGGTGAGGTAAATACACTTATTAGATAGAAATGGAAATTTCATAAATATTTGATATTTTTCTGATTTAATATGCTTGGATTATGCAATAGCATATGTAATGTGGGAATGTTTTTGTAGATAATAAAACTATGTGATCTGTACTTCCACATAACGGGAGTTGAAGGGAGCTCGGTCCTCCCTGCTAACAGCCCCAGCGCTTGTCACATTCTTTGACAAGTCACATAATATTGTAATTCTATTCTTTGCAGCTCAAGCATGCAGTATGAATACTGTGTATTTTTTTTTAACGAATTTAGTATCAAGGCTTCAGAAAGTGCCTTTTATGGCATCCCTTCTGTATGTGTAAAAGAAGACATAATGTTAGCAAGATGATAAAAATCCAGTCTTTCAAAGCGCAGCTTATTTTTCTCATCTGCTAAATGGAACCATTACTCTGCTGTAATTTTCCCCCACCTTTTTTTATTTCATATGTGGGGAACTGAGAATTTAGTTCATTCTTTCAGGGTGAAATTTGTAACAAAAAATGTTTTAAAAATTATATATGTAACTCAATTTGAAGTATAGGTATATACTGACTGCTACATTACCCCAGAATATATGTACACAATTTATGTAAGTATAGAAGATAAAATTGGTGTCCTTATAATTTTAATTAAAAAATACCCTCAAAGTCTTATTTATTATTAGAACTAAATACATAATTTTATAACTCTGTTACCCAGTATTCATCTGTAAAGCCAGATTGCTATCATTGCTTTTATATTTTTAAATTGGACATTTTAGAAACCTGTAATTCCCATGGAGCTTACTTTTTTTTTAATCAAAATGTTCAGGTAACAGTTATAAATTCATGTACTGAGGGTGGTATTATAGAAATACTTCACAACCCTCTAATGTTATCAAGAATATTTTGAGGGGACAATTATAATGTATTTTCTCAGATAAGGAAAATTTTTTTTAAAGAATATTTTAATCTTCTGTTTTAAGCATCTCTTGGATTTACATTGTAACTGTATATAAAGCAGTGAAACAAAGGAAATTTCAGATAAAGCTAAAAGTAGGAACATTTTATTTCAAAATCATGTGAATTGATATTATCAGTTAAACCTCAGTGTTTTTAAGCTTTTGTTAATCTTGTCACCATCTTTATATTGTTAAAGGTATTTGTCTTTTGGAAGTTTCCTATAAAGAATCTTATAATTACATGTTTCATTCCCAATTTGTGTGTGTGTAGGAGGGGACTTTTTTAGGTGACTGTTAATGGTTTCATACATCAAATTTTGGTAAAGTAAATATATAATACATTTTCTTGTGACTTCTTAACATTTTTGTTTGTGTGTTTTTCAAAGATACCACTGTCTCTTATCATGTTTTGAAGATGTTTAAAATTCATTTTCCTAAATTCATGTGGAAATGGTTTGAGAATATCAACATTTTATATTAAACATATTGACAATTCATTAGTTTGAACTATAATTTTTTAAAGAAATGTGTGACAGTCTTAGAAATAAATTTGAGTTTTATAGTGGCCAGTACATATCATGTGGCTGATGCTTAGATTAATTTTCCTTTCTGTTTTAGTAAGCATAATGCTAATTTGGTTGTTGGTTCAGGAAACATTTGGGAATTTTCTAGGTACAATAAAGTGAATGAGATCTTCTGAACTCTTTATAGTATAATGGGAGAAGTGAACATATGAACAATCTTAATATTCCCTGGTAAAAGCAATCATAAGTTTCTTTGAGCGCACAAGAGGGAGTTCATCCGTGTGTGTGTGTGTGTGTGTGTGTGTGTGTGTGTGTGTATGTGTGTGTACCCCTGTGTGCTAGGGAAAAGTGGAGAGGTAGTAAGAGAGTTGTTGGTGGACAGGGAAAACTTTCCTAAAGAAAATATTACTATTTTTAATTCACAACACTTGGGATTAAAAGTAAAATGGTAGATTTTCAAAAATATGTTTTTATTGAGTTTTAGAGAGAGAGGAAGAGAGAGGGATAGAGAGGAACATCATTGATCAGCTGCCTCCTGCACACCCCCTACTGGGGATCAAGCCTGCAAACTGGGCTTGTTCCCTGACTGGGAATCAAACCAATGACCTCTTGGTTGTTCCTGGGTCAGCATTCAACCGCTGAGTCACACCTGCTAGGCAAAGGATAGCTTTTTAAAAAGAGTCATTTTCAACCACCTAGACTCATCATACAGATCCCTTTCTAAACTGGTTTCTATCTTTATCCTCATCTTTCCACTCTGATCTACTTTTTAGTCATATAAAATTATTGATTTATACTTTAATTACTTTTAGCTTAACACAAAGCTTAAACCTTTTATTCATAGGAAATTACCTTGTTTTTTTTTTTTCTTTTCAATATGGTTTCTTAAATGTGAACTGTCGTATGTAGTCAACATTTTTTTTTAATGGTGAAAAGACCTTTAACGGTTAGCTGTGTGTGGCTGGAGAACTGAGTGGGGACATGCATGCTTGGAAGGCCTGCTGGAACAGATTCTATAAAACCCTGCTTCCCTCCGCAGTCCATCGTAACTGGATGTGGAAGTTTGGGAAGTGCCCATGGTCTGTTAAAAGACATGGTCCTGGGTGGATGAGGCTTCCTTATGCGTGTCCGGTGTGGTCTGCATGAGGTGCTCTCCTCCCTCACATCCCTCTGGGGGCTGAAGAAATCGGGGTCAGGACTACTACAGAGAATCCCGTTGAAGATATGCTTTATGTGATGCACTGGTTTCTGGGCTGTGTATCAAATACGAATGGAATGAGCTAGATTATGGACTGTTGTCCTGTGAGTGTGTCACTTGGAACCCAGGATCATCGGTGGTGGTTTGTAATAGATGTTGCAACATTGCATCTCCACACCTCAGGCCTGCACATGCCAGTCCTTTTTTCTAGAACACCCTTTCACTGCTTCCTGTCAACTTTTATTTTTCCCCCCAAATCTGGGTCAAATGTCATCACCCCACATTTGCTCAAACAGAATAATTCATTACCTTTCCTGTTCCCCTGTAATGACTTGTTTATATTTCACCAGTTTTATGTCATTGTTTGTATACATGTTTTCACCTACAGACATGCTCCTAATGGACCAACATTTTGCATTTGATGTATTTAGTATGTTAGTAGCATGTAGTGAACACCTGCAAACTTTTGCTGAGTCAATAAATGATTGTCAACTCATTTGGAATTAAAGAATGGATGAAAGAACCTGGTACTTGTTATTTCTAAGCACAATGTTTGTTTAATTTCTTACCAGCTTATAATTGGGGGCATATTTCTTGGGGCATAAGGACCATCAGATGAGGTTTTGAAATATTTCCTAAAATATTCTCAGTGAAAACTCAAGGAATATTTTTTTCTGAGTAATTAAAAGTAGATAATCTTTTCATCTATAGAACCCCCCCCCCGCCCCCCCCAAAATTCTTGGTAAGACTTTCAAAGTATTTCATAATCAACCTCCTTCATTTCCAGCCTATTTTCCCGAGGCTCCTGTTCCTGCTTTAGGAAATATCTTTCTATTTTCTGTACAGATTGCGTATTTTTCTGCCTTACTGATCACGCCCAGGTTTTTTTTCTAACTCCCATCTCTGCCCACTAACCCTCTCCACTTCTGCCCACTGCAATGCCACTGTACCAGGCTATTCAAGGCCTGGCTGACATGTTATTTTCTCTGATAAACCCCCTTTAGCTTCCCAGTTGGAATTAATCTTTTTTAATGATTCTTAAAGAACCATTTAAAATCTGATGATATGAACTACAGTATACTAATCTAAAAAAAAAAAAAAAATTACTTGTGCTTCCAAGTACTCCATTGTTTTTACCTAAATCAATATTATAAACTTCATGAAGTCCCAAAACTCCAGTCGTCTTTTTCTGAAGTTAATATATCTCATAGTAATGTCATAAGTGTCTTACTGCTTTAGCCAAATTTGTTCAAGAGAAGAAATAAAATAACTCAGTAGAGCATAAAAAATTAAAACCCTTATAACACACAGCACAACCTTACATTAGTCATCACGTTCTGCCTTGAGTTATAGATGCAATTATTCTAAGAATGCTGCAGTTAAAAAGTACACTAAATGTGAAGTTAAAATGAATTGATAAAATGGTAAATGTATTTAGAAGCAAATGAAGCCAGCTGAAGTTTTTATACTATTTTTTTAAGCACAGATTTCTGAAATCTTACTATTTTTTATAGAATAACCATTGTTAAAGTTCTTAAGTAAATACTTGTAATATAATTTAAATTAGGGAAAATTTATTCCATTCTGCAGTTTAAACAAAATAGAATTCCAAAGTTTGAAACCTCTTAAAACTTGATGAACTCTTGTAATGAAAGATAAATAATATATATTAGTTTACAAAGAATTTGCATATTTCCTATTTTCCCCAGCAACCCTGTGATATAGAGATTATCATACCTGATTTCTTTAGTGAGTAAATAAGTTCAAGGAGTTTAGGTTCATCAAAATCAAATATTAAGTGGTAAAAACAGGATTTGAATGCAGGGTTGCTCAGGGATTTTCTCATTCTAAGTACAGAAATGTTTCCAGAATACTGTGAATCTCAGATCTCCTGACTTGTTGGAGTAAGCCATCAAAAATTTTGAAGTAGCTTTTTCATTTTTATTTTTTATTACAATATTAAAATTTTTTCATAACCTGTCATTACCCCTCCCCGACGCCACCCCTACACACACACACACACACACACACACACACACACACACACACACACAAACATTCATGCCTTTTGTTACCTAAAGTTCTCCAATGAGCTTCCGGCATGGCTGTCCTTGATCTGAATTATCAACA